TTAAAGGTGTGTGTCGTCACTGCCTGATCTGTAAGGCTGACCAGTGGGGCTGTTTGACTCTCTGGTCTGCGGGCAAGCTTTATTTATTAAAATCTCACTACACCCCTAGGCTTTGACTGCCCTGTTGGCCAGGCACCTTCCTGTGCAGTCACTGTCATGACAAGTGACCTCCCAGCACAAGTGAGGTCTCGCAGTTGGGACCTTGTCCCTTTCATCTGACACTGCTGACAGACAGACGGCTCTAGCTTTCAGTAGCCATGGGAGTTTGAAAATCACGGAACTCCCACTGGTCCCAGTGCCCAGCGTACAAACACAGGGTAAGAGATACAGCAACGAGAACACACTGTCACACATAACATGCCACCTGACATGCACATACCAGCACACTGACCCTGCCATGGCATCAGCAAGTCCAGGTCTGCATGACTGCTATCAGAAGACATGTGATGTACTCAATTTTCAAAGATTAATTGTATGAAAAGGCATTTATGCTTTTATACATTATAAAGCCAGTCAATTTTTAAAAAATGATGAGATGGCGTAGCAGATAAAGGTGTGTGTATGTGTATGTGTATGTGTGTGTGTGTGTGTGTGTGTGTAACTATACATACTGAGCAGGTTGTATTTATACACACACATACATATATTTATACCTACAATGTAAATAAAAATAAATCTTCAAAAAGGAAAAGAAATGATGCTTTTAAAGTTTTTAGATTTCTTCTGCAATAAAACAGAAGAACCAGCAAACTGTGTTCCCTGTATTAGTCGGTGGTTCTTTGTCACTGATCATGAACAGAAAAAAATAAAGGGGTTCACATAGGTTCCATTAGGAAAGGCCAACAATGGAACAGGGACCTACACAGGCTGACACTGGGCCCTTCTGCCTTCAAGCTGAGCCGCAGGAACCGCCTGGCTAAAAGCATGGCTCAGTGCAGGCTTCACTGTCCCTCTGTCTCAGGAAGGGCTTTAAGGCACACATGGAATACCTTCTTGTACACAGGACGCACGTATTCCAAGGGAAGCTAGCACACAGCAGGCAGCCCAACCTCCCACCAGGCAGAGTCGGTCGTGTAGAACACACTGTGTCCTAGGGAAGCCTGCAGCGGACAAACCAGGAGAACTGCACATGTTCAGGAACCACAGTTACAAAGTTCATTTGACACAGCAACTTACCAAAAGTTCCGCCCTTGCAACTTCTCCCCACCTCTAGCTGCCTTGGCCTTCTTTACAACCATTTTGCTGGTACGGTCAATATAAAAAATGGTGTCTGGTGGGCAAGACGACTCGGAACTTGCTGCACTTCTGGACGATCTGAGTGTGGTTCCCAGCACACTCAGTCACCTAACAACCACTCATAACTCCAGTTCCTGGGGATCCAACACCCTCTTCTGGCCTCCACAGGCACCACACACATGTAGCGCGTGTGCATGCACATACACACACGCACGCATGCATATACACATGCACACGCTAACACACACACAAGTAAAAATAAAACTTTCAAGAAATGTTTTTAAAAAGTTACCGTTAGATTTTTCTAACCACCTACAAAAGTACAGTAAAGTACTGACTACTAGAAACTAGAATAAGCAGCCTCGGAAAGAACAAAAGGGAGAGACAGTGCACAAAGAACACCACTTAGAATGAAGGCAAACGCTGCTAATAGAGAAGTACAGACACTCAGACTACATAAAACCAACTACAGTTCTCTTACCACTTCCAAAGATTAGCCTATGAGCAGGTCTGGTTTTTCTACAAGAAAATATGAAACCACCCTATACAGTCACCAGTGGTCACTCTGCAGCTACTTCTGGACCATAGTCCTTGCTTAGTGCCAACAGCCAGGGAGACTCCTTCATGGGACACAGTTCTATCAAAAAGAAATCAAGCTAGCCATTGGCGGCACACGCCTTTATTCCCAACACTCAGGAGGCAGAGGCAGGCGGATCTCTGGGAGTTCGAGGCCAGTCTGGTCTAGAGTACTAGTTCCAGGACAGTCGGGACTACATAGAAAACCTCTCTGAAAAAAACAAAAACAGAAAAGAAAGAAATCAAGCTTACATTTTCAGAGAATATTTTTCACAAGCACATTCCAAAGGGCACCCGCATCTGGGAAGCACCCGCCTGACTAATGCGCATTCTCTTCAATGAGCCCGCCGAGAAGAGACTTTGGTCTCCAGACAGGTGCAAGATATTTGTGGCTCAACAGAGCATGGATGACAGCAAGAACAGCATGTCCCTGCTATTCTGGGACACTGGTCCTGGCATCCTGGGGAGCACTCTGAGAGGCTCTCTGAAATGTCTGTCAAAGCAGGAGAAGACCCCAGAGGAAATGTCTCCCAGCCTAGGCAAGACTGACCACGTGACAAGACTGGTTATGCTTAGAGACCCACCCACATAGATGCAGGGCAAAGGGTAAAGAGCCTATCACCCTCACAGGAACAAAAGTTAAAAAGACTCAGTGTACACAAGGCGCTGTGCAGACCCTAATTTATACAAGCAGAGCCTGAAAGAAGCAGGAGTTTAAGCTAGAGATGGGAAGAGATGGAGGAATTTCTGTTGCTTTATCCAGCGAGTGTGGGTCCTGGAGAGGCTATACAGGGGCCGCTGACACAAACACCAAAGCCAGCATGCAGCCTGATAAACAGCAGGGTTAAGGGTCTATTCGATTGTTATTGATCCATTCAATATTGTGTATATTGAAATCCCCTCCAAACAAACAACAACAACAAATCGACACAAGAGCTTACAGATTCCAGCTGTCCTGGAATTTGCTTTGTAGACCAGGTTGGCCTCAAACTCACAGAGATCCGCCTGCCTCTGCCTCCTGAGAGCTGGGATTAAAGGCGTGCGCCGCCCGGCTTGTTTTTATCTTTTTATAGTAATTTTTTTATTTGTTTTTGGAATAGGATCTTCTCTGTATGTATCCCTGGCTGGCCTGGAACTCACTAATTTTTAATTATTTCTTTTATTTTTTGAGATTATAATGTCATTTTCCCCTTCCCTTTCCTCTCTCTAGACTCTCCCATACACCCCTTGGTGCTCTCTTTCAAATTCATGGCCTCTTTTTTATTCATTGTTTTTACATATATGTATGTGCACACATATATACCCCTAAATACATAAATACACTCTAGTCAGTCTGTATAATGTTACCTGTACACGTTTTCAGGATTGAGCATTGGTATTGGATAACCAACTTGTGTGTCCTGTGTGGGGAGGAATATTTCTCCTACTCTCAGCTTCTTTAGGCTTTTATTTTTAAATAAATCTTATTTTCAATGTAATAGGAGTTTTACTTGCATATAAGTCTCTGCATCACTTGTGTGCCTGGTACCTATGGAGGCCAAAGGAGGGTGCTGGTTCCCTCTGGAACTCAAGTTACAGACCATTGTGAATTGCCACGTACATGCTAGGAATTGAACTCACGTCCTCTGAAAGAGCAGCCAGTGGCCTTAATCAATGACCCATCTCCCCAGCCTGTACCCTTGTTTTTATAAAGTATCTCAAAAGATGGTATTGTAAAAAGAAATCATCTCAATAAACTGGTATGTTTCACAAAAACACCCAATTACTTTTGAGGCAATGCAGACTCTTCCCTTTCCAAGACCAGAAGATCCTGAAACAATCACCTTTCAAATCTAAGAACACCCAGGCAGGTGAGCTTCAGGGGTCCTCACGTGACTAGGGGTTTCTAGTCCACAGGTACAGAATGCAGAATATGTACATAGACTGTGTTGTATGAATGTGTGTACATAAACATGTATGTACTGTGTACACGCATGTTTATACATGGTCCTGTGTGTACAGACCCAGCATGTAGGATTGGACTTGACAGGATCATGACCTCTTAGCATATTACATAATGGGAGACCATGCTGATGAACTTTTTTTATACAGATGTAGGAGTCCACACAGATCACAGGGACTTCAACCAGGACCCTCCTGTCAGCTTCACAATCCAAGAAGGGTTTCCACCGCTTTGTAAGACTGCATCTCAAAATCACCATGTGATATGACAAGACACAGAGAATGTATTCTTAGCCAAGTAGTGGTAGCACAGGCCTTTAATCCCAGCACTCGGGAGGCAGAGACAGGCAGATCTCTGAGTTCAAGGCCAGCCTGGTCTACAGAGAGAGTTCCAGAACAGGCTCCAAAAGCCACAGACAAACGGTCTCAAAACAAAAACACCAACAAAATATGTATGTTTTACACATATATAAAACATATTTTATATAAAACATATATGTATTCAGAAGAAACCATACAGTGTATGTTATATATACTGTATATCACATATATATAAATATATATATATTCTGAATAAGAAACGATACTGTGTACAGATGTACTGTGTCGACAGTCACAACCATATGTAGCAGGTTACTCCATCACATCCCTCTACTCTCTCCACGTGGAGTCAACAATTCGGTTGATGCCTACTTGTGTCCTGTTTTTTGTGAGCAGGCATTTAAATACTGCTTTAAGACAGGAGAGATGGCTCAGCAGGTAAAGTACTTGCCCTAACTCTGAGGACAAGAGTTCAAATCCCCAGTATCACATAAAAGCAAGAGGACTTGCCTATAATCCCAGCAAGCAGAAGACAAAGACAGGATCCTCAGAGCAATCTGGCCCTCTAGACTAGCTGCAACAGTGAGATCTGGATTCAAGGGAGACTCAACTTCAAGAAATAAGATGGAATGATTGAGAAAGCCATTTGACAGTCAACCTCTGGCCTCCAGACATGTGTGTACACACACACACACACACACACACAGAGTGCATCCACATGAATGCAAACAGACACATGCATATACAAATACACACAAATCAAAATTAAAACCAAAACAAAACATTACTCCCCACTGAGCTGAGCTCCGGCAGAGACCCCAGTACCCGTGGCCAGTATGGCTCCACAGTGGTCATCAACTACTGGCCCTAGACAGTGCAGCATCACCAACGTGCTACCCTATGGGACGACACATGGGGAAGCTTACCTGTGCAGCCTGTTCCTGAGATGCCTGCAGCTCTGGAGGTTTGGCCAACTCTGCTTGTGGCTTCTGCATTTCAACAGTGTGCGGGGCTCCCAGATCCTCAGGCACAGCTTGGTGCAGCGGGACCTTAGCACCCACGCTACCCAAGGCTGCATGTCCATCCTTCTCTAGCAGGTGTCTCTGATTGTGCAGAGCCACAGCCAGTTCCTCCTGCTGAGAGAGTTTCCACAGGTGTCAAGCTATAGTGTACATACCCCAGATTTCCCCATCCCAGGAGTATAATATGTGCAGGAAGTGGTAATCATTCCAAATGCTTCCTATAATTAAATTCTGTCACCAATAAAGTTCAACTATGGTTTAAAGTATTTGTGTGAGATCTACACTTCTACTTTTAAAATAAACTTTAGGGGGCTGGAGAGATGGCTCAGCGGTTAAGAGCATTGCCTGCTCTTCCAAATGTCCTGAGTTCAATTCCCAGCAACCACATGGTGGATCACAACCATCTGTAATGAGGTCTGGTGCCCTCTTCTGGCCTGCAAGCATACACACAGACAGAATGTTGCATACATAATAAATAAATAAATAAATATTTAAAATAAAATAAAATAAACTTTATCTTAGAATTTTAAGATGCATGTTTCTGTAAGATGTGTGTGTGTGCATGTGGGTATGGTATAGAAGAGCAGGCGTCAGTAGAGGTCAGAGGTGTTGAACCTCCTGGAGCTGGAGTTATAGGCAGTTGTGAGCTGCTTGGTGTGGGAACCAAACCTGGATCCTCTGGAAAAGCAGCAAGTGCTGAATCATCTCTCCAGCCCAGAACCCAATTCTCTTTAAACCAAATGAAATCAAAATGATCCATAGGTTCAGATCCGTGAATTGGAAACAAGTTCCAGTCCCTTAACTTGTACTGGTTTGTGGCAAGGGAGAACAGAAGTCTACTAAACCAAAGCTGCAGTTCTAGAGTACAGAACGGTATTGAAGACCTTCTAGCAGTCCTAAACAGTTCTCCAAACCAGTCCAGAGACAGAATGGCTCCTGTCTCTAGATCAGTCTAGACATTAGGATGGATGCACCACACACAGTAGGTCAGTCTAGACATTAGGATAGACACACCAAACACAGTAGGTCAGTCTAGACATTAGGATGGATGTACCACACACAGTAGGTCAGTCTAGACATTAGGATAGACACACCAAACACAGTAGGTCAGTCTAGACATTAGGATGGATGCACTACACACAGTAGGCTCTCCCAGTTGCTCCATGCATTATTACAGAACAGTCTAATACATTTCAGGAAGATAGAATTCACCATCTAGGAAGGGCAAAGAAGTATAAAGCACACTAAATGGGTTTTAAGTTGGTAGGTAGGGCTTATTCACAATCACAGACTCCTATGTCCTGAAAACAGACATGAGCCAACTGTGAGTTTGTCAGAAATTCCCTCCTCATATAAAAAACTTAAAGTACCAGCCAAAGGTACTATCACATCCTTGTCTTCATACCAAAAAACAAAACAAAACAAACAAAAACCCAATGAATTTCAGGAAATATCAATCAAAAAGGGAAACAATATGTTTTGCATATACAACATAAAAATTAGATCCTTCTACTGTGGTCTCAAAACTAAGAGCATAGGAGGGACCTGGGTTGGCTTCAGGGAGCTCCGAGACTTATCAATGCAACCCTACCTGGCTGTTACCAATCATCTACAGCGAGCCCATAAATCAACACTGCTATCAACCAACTATGAGGCACAGATACACACACACAGACATGTATGTGTCAACACAGAGATGTATACACAGAGAGGCAGATATGGGCACAAGAGACACAGGTACATGGTTCAGACACATTCAGATGTGTTAAACAAGACGCAGAGAAGCATGTGCACAAATGCCCAGACACATAACATGTGGCCCATACATGAGTAATAGGGAGACCAGTCCTGAATCAAGGAAGAGGCCCAGCACCTTACCTGCTGTGCGCCTTGCAGGTCAGTGGCCAGGTCTTTCCCGGGCTCTGTGTGTCTGGCATGCATTCTGACTCTCAAGCTATCTTTAGCAGACTGAAGCTCCTCATCATGTCTCAGTTTCAGTTTTTCCAACTCAAGTGTCAAAAGCTCTTTGTGAGAAGAGTCCTTTTTCTGCAGCTGGTCCTCGAGCTCTGCTCGCAAAAGCTCCAGAGCCTTTCTGTGTTCATCCTGAATGGTCTGAATGTCGGCCAAGTAACAGGATTCCAACGCGTCCAAATTGGACAAATGTCTCATCTCTAAAGCGTTGATTTCAGCATTGTGTTTTACCTGCAGTTCAGCCACATGCGTCTCAAGAAGTACCTGCTGCCTGCTCTCCAGGGAGGCAAGCTGTTCGGCGAGCTCAGAGTGGTGCTTGGTCTCGAGCTCCATCCTCAGGGCCTGAAGTTGCTGCTGGTGTCCCTGCTGCAGGAGCTGGAGTTCATGGGTGTGCTTCTCCTGGGCATCCCGAAAGAAAGCATCTTGTTCCTTGGCAAACTTCTCCATAATCTCTTTGCGCTCTTCCAAAAACCTGAGGCAACACTCAAGGAGAACACAGGCAATAGAGCATATGGGCACACTGTACATAGCCCCTCTGAGCCACAAGCTACATTTCCCACAGAGAGATGCCTAGGTCCTAGATTTGAACCTTCCCTAGAATAAACTCAGGAGCCATATGAAGCCTCAAACCATGGAGTCACTAGTTCTTAAGACTCCGGGAAGACTCAGCACCCACAGAGAAACTTCATACACATTTCTACAGGAAAGACCTCAAACGGCAGGCTCAACAGGTCACTTGTAACAGCATTGAACCCCAGACTTCTCTGTGCCCTGACAGGGAAGATTATTACCTAAGAGAGCCATAGAGCAGTCTAAGGGCCCAGGGCAAGAAGAGCAGAAGGCCTAAGAGAGAAAGAAGGTTTAACTGAAGGAGAAAGGAGCTGACCCCACCTGTGGAGTGGTGACCAACCAGACAGTGCCAGGTCCCTGGCAGGAACAGGCTAGGTTTCATGTTAAGTTGACAGAGTTTACCTACACATGAGCTGTGACTGTCAAGAGCATGTGAGTATGTGAGTCTGTGTTTGTGTGTGCAGATATGTACCACATACACACACACAGAGGCCAAAGGAGGGCATTGGGCATCTTCTCTTGTTGATCCTTATCTCATTCCCTGGAATCAGAGTATGCCACTGAACCCGAAGCTCACTGCTTCAGCTAACAGGCACGTGCAGCCAGGCCCAGCTTTGACACGCCCTCTTCCCCACTGAGCCACCTCCCAGTACCAAGGGCTTTGACTTTCTATGTGCAGCTCAGCTATGGGTCTTCCACAGAGTACTGTACTGGGCTGTAGGACCTCTCTATGAGACAGAATCTCAAGGTCCTGTGGAATTGGAGATCTGACTCAGACAATAACGGGTCTGCATCTGAACACGAATCTCAAACCCAGACAGTCCTTAGCATTCCGATGCTGAGAAGCTAGGGAAGGTAGAGAACGAAGCGGGGGCCAATCCACCGCAGATTCAACAGTCCCATGGCAAGTATACATTAGCCTCTCCAGCCTGAGGAATGGGGGCTAAATAATCTGCTTCTGTTCTAAATCTGTATCTTCAAGGAAGTATGTGACTTAGAAGGAAATGTTTACTTTTAAAACAATATGCTTAAAGCTGAAAAGACCCACAAAACACTCATCTCAATGAAGGACATTCGCATAAGACCTCATAAAGTGAGGCTTAAGATTCTGTTACTGCATGCCGGGTATGGTGGCAATGCCTTCAATCCCAGAACTTGGGAGGCAGAGGTAGGCAGATCTCGGTACACTGGAAACCAGACTGGCCAAAATTGTAAGTTCCAGGACAGCCAGGACTACAGAGAGACCTTGCCTTAAAAAAACAACCAAATAAAAAGATTTTGTCACTAAGAGATTAGAGAGATGGCTGAAGTGTTAAGGGCACTGGCTACTCTTCCAGGACATGGGTTCAATTCCCTGCACCCACATGACAGCTCAAAAACATGACAGCTCAAAAACATCTGTAACTCCAGTTCCTGGGGATTTGATGCTCTCTTCTGGCCTCCAGAGGTAACAGGTAGGCATGTAGTACACAGACATACATGCATACAGAAGACCACCATATACAGAAAATAACTTTAAAGAATTTAAATATAAGAAAACATTAAAAAGAATAAAAAATAAAATTCAGTTAATTATTAAAAAAATCTGTCACTGAAATTTTAAAACATGCAAACAAAGAACAAAAGTATAAATGGGCATAGTACATAGACTTATAACACAACATGCAGAAGACAAAGGTGGAAGGATTAGGAGTTAGAGGCCAGCCAGAGCTACACGAGAATATACAGTCAACAAAGCCTATACAAGAAGGCTGTGTCTCAAAATAAAAGCTAGATATGGTAAGATGTACTTATAATCCGGCATTTAAGAGGCTGAGGCTAGAGGACTGTGGTGTACCTTTAAGACAGCTTGGGCACAAAAAGGAGACCTTCTCTCAAAAACAAACAAGCAAACAAGGATGAAGACACCAGGATGCACGCGCACTCACGTCCATGAGAGGTCCTCAAGCTCCAGAGGACGGACATGGCTATGCTACTCCCAGCAGACCTACCGTGGAGCAAAAGCCTATTCCTTTGGGTTGGTAAAAATGCGGTGTATCATACCTTGTTCCACTTCCTTCCAGGTTTTCTACCCAACCAAGCCCCCTCTACATCCTCCTAGGTTCCTCTTGGCCCTGCCAGCACGCTGGGCAGGAGGCTCCACCCAAACCGACCACCGTACAACATTACCCACCTGTTCTGGGCCATCATCAGCTGGAGGGCACAGTCTTCCTTCTCACGGAGGAGCGTGGCATGCTCTTCATCCTGGGCCACAAGGGGCTCCTGGCCACACTGGCTACAGGGCAGAGCTTCATCTCTAGTGAGTTCTTGTTCCAGCTCCCTCAGGCGGCCCTGCTGCTCCATCAGAGATCTCTCCAGGTCCAAGATCTGGGCCGCCTGCTGGTCCTGCAGGTGCCTCATGCCAGACTCCCGAAGCTCAAACCTGCTTATTATGGACTGTTTCTCACACTCGGCCTTTTCTCTTAGCTCATGAAACATGGAGGTTAACCTCTCTTCGGCTTCTCTCTTGAGGGCCTCGTGTGAACGCTCCCACTCTGCTTCCTTTCTTTGGAATTCTTGTTTCAACAGCTGAATCTTCTCCTCAGCTTTATTTAGTTTTACCTGATGGTCTTCGACTAGACTACGTTTGACCTATAAGATGAGATGGTTTTATATAAGAGGAAAGAAACTACAGGAAAAGATTGTTGCATGTGATGACCCCAGTGTGTCCCTGAAAACGGAAATTTCTACAGTTTATTTCAAAATACAGCAGTGGGAATCCATCTTATTTTGATGGAAATACCCTAAAATAGACAAAAGTAAAACTCTGCTTTCTGCCACAAAGCCCAACACCTGAAGCCATGCACACACACACACGGGTGCGCATTCACATCACCTGTAGCAAAGACAGGGGTACCACATCCAATACAGCAAGATGAGGAACCCAAGAGAGACAAGTTAAGTCACTTGATCAGTAACAAACAAAATAATTCTAAAGGTCGCTTGAAAAAGAAGATAAAAAAGCTAAGGCTAGGCAGATAAAGTCTAAGAAAGTCTAAGAAAGAAGAGAGTAGGAATAAACTCTACCATCAATAAGAAGCAAATCAATGTCAAAAAAGGAATGTGAGTGTGACCACAATTCTCCATCAAACTAAAGGCTAGGTTCCTTTCTTCTGGTGATGAGTAAACAAATCTACTCAGGCCAACTCTTCCTGAGCAGAGCTCTGGCCTTGGGTACCAGACCTTAAAGAAGCTTTCTGGAAAACCCACTTGCGTTTCTTTCTTCAAGAATCTGGTGCACACACTCCAAGAGCAATGCCATGCATAGTTCAGGGTGTCCTCAGGACCTCCTGGTGCACACAGACCACACGCCTGCCACAGAACACAGAGCCCTGCTGAGGACCACTACTCACGTTCTCCAGGTCCTCCTTCAGGTGGGTCTCATGCTGCAGCTTCTCCTGTAAACTTCTGTTCTCTATCTTTAAGAGTTCAATTTCTTCCCTGAGCTCAGTCTGAAGAAGTGAAAGTTTAACCTTCTGCTCATCTTCCAAACTCAGGATTCTGGCAGCCACCTGAGCATCGGCCTCCAAAGCCATGTCCTGTTCATACTGGAGACGTCCTTGTGTGAGCTCTTGAGGAACAAGGGAGAGGGAAGACAATCACAGACCGTGTATCCACAGGCAGCGCCAAGAGAATGGCGGCAGCCTGCAAACTGTTGAGCTACCAGGACACCACGCTTCGAACACCCTGATGCTGACTCAGGAGAACAGGTGCCATGTCTTCAGTGTCCTCTCTGCAGATACATCCCTGGCCTATTCTGAGATGTGGCGTTCCCTGGGGTCTCCATGGCATACATGGAATACACGGCAGCTCAAGGTATTCCTTAAGGTCAGGCATGCTGTGCGACCTGCTCTCGGTCACCCAGAGCAAACCCTGTGCCCAGCATCAGACGCACAGGGACTGGCATAGGGCCTGAGCCTGAACTGAGGCACACCTAGGGAGTGAGTGTGCGAGCTGGGCACACGGACTCCTCTAAACCAGGCCTGGGTCTTCTTCTCTGAAGATGGAAACAAAGGCACAAGCCCTGCGTTTAGAGTAAGAACAAGCTATGCTTCAGGGACTGCGTGGACACGAGCAGCACAAATCGCAGAACAGTCCCTGGTACAGCAAGGACAAGAGCAATAAGGGACAGGAGCATGCTGGCCCCTGGCTCTCAAGCAGGACTATACACCTCTCTCCCTTGCCCTATCCAACGCTGAATGGAACTCCAGAGCTACGCAGACTTTCATGTCGCAAAAAGCGATGGCCAAAACTGATCCCATTGCTGCTTGAGGTGGGGCCCTCAACTTGGCTTCCTCACTTCCCCTGCAAGCGGACCTCTGTACTCAGAAGGGCTGAACAGCAATGGAGACATTCTGTCACCGTGGTTCACACCAGCTGGCCTCTGCTGCCCACCTCTAGAGTCACTGGGCCTGACCACTACCCAGACCCGTGGATCACGTCTCTACGATAACCAGAGTCTTTCTATGCTTCTCCTTCCAGGCCACCCCACATGAGCTCCTTCCCTCATGTTCCCTGGGTGACCCGCAGTCTTGGTCTGACCAGCTAAGCCACTATGCTAGGCCTGAAGAAAAAGCACCTCTGGTGCTGCACGCTGTTAAAGCAAGTCTTTTCTCGAAAGTGACGTCAGTTCCTAAGGCCAGAGTGCAGCTCCATCAGACCCAACCCTGGTCTGGAGAAAAGCATCTCTATAGACAGAGCAAGCCAACAGCAGGCAGGTGTCCTCCTAAGGCCAGCACTCCCCGAACTCAGCCCCATCTAACTGCAAGGGATGACTCCTTACAGAAGGGGTCTGCATTACACTGTGGCAGGCTCACAGTCTTCATGTGGACATCACTAATGACAGCCGAAGCAGCCATGTGTCCATGGGCAGAAAACACGAGGAAAGCGGCAGCCTTCTCCCGAGACACGCCCCAGGAACTGGCACTGGCAGGAAAATAAGGAGCCTGGATGGACAGACAGGACACACCTTGGCTGTGCTGGTCTGAGAATCCAAGCGGGAGCCTCTCCTGTTCTGCGTCCTCAAGCTCCGGGCGGGGGCTGTGTGACTTGTCCTCCTTGAGTTGGAAAGCGAGGGAAGAACTCAACGCACCTGCTTTGTGCCTGGGGTCTTCTTGCAGTCCTGCCTGTAAACTTGTCGAGTTCTCCTAAAGGACCACACAGGACAGGCGAGTCAGTGAGCCCCATCACCTGCTCTCTGTCAGCACTCTTGGGGCATTCCCTGCTGTGTTCGGAGGAAAACATAAACCTAGCTAGATTCATAAGCCACACGACTGACCCTGGTACAGACACGGCACAGAACTTCTTCCCGTCCACCAGTGTCCAGACAGGATCCCAGAATCCACAGACGCAGTGGCTACAGCCTGAGAGCAGCATGCACAAGAGGCCACGGCAGCAGGCAGAAGCCATCCTACCCACTGGCATTCCATCGCAGTGGTGTCTACAGAACCTTACGGGCTTCCTCTACTGTCCATCGTTGGCATCTCTCCCCCTTAGTGTTCAGTTGTCTCCCCACCCTCGGCATCCTTTATCCAGTCTCATATCTTAAGCCCAGGACTCTCCTAAACCCTGTACTTCTGTGATCTGACACCCAATAATTACAATGCCAATGAATAGCATTCAGAGCACTGGCCCAAGTCCGTTCCAGGTAGCATGGAGGTTGTTCCGGCAGTCATTTCACGCCCTGATCAGAGCTCCCCTAAAGGCTACTCTCTTGCTCACATCCTGGGATTTGCCTGCCTGTCCATAAATTCAGCTTACCACTTCAATTGTAGGGGCCAGCCGTGAAAGCTAAGTCTGGGCAGGTCAGACAAAGGAAGTTCTTTACTGCCAACCATTATCACCTGGTACTCTGGCCATTGATAAATTTAAATGGAGTCTGGAGTCTCAATAGTTTACCCTCAGACAATACCTGGCAGGCCTGGATTACCTGACCCCCACCCAAGAGCAGACCATTCAAAGGAAATTCCTGGCATTCCAAGCACTGTAGATAGAAATACCTGCCAGCACTTCACCAGGACATGCCTAGACAAATGTCAGCCAATCAGGAGTTCTGAACCTCAGAGACTCCTCACCCCCACCTTTACTACTATAAAAACCCAATTCTAATTGAACTCGGGGCTCTCTGGACATTCCAATATATTGGACATGCAGAGAGATTGAGTTTGCAAACTTGATTAAAATAAAGGCTCTTTGCTTTTACATATGGGACTAGGTCTCCTTTGTTAGCTTTTATGGGGACCCATGGATTTGGGCATAACACAATCACTTTAGACATGAGGTCCTATTCCTGTGTCAGCCTCAATCTCAAATCAGTGTCTCCCTGCAGCCGACCCCCATGTCTCTCAGGAGAACCTGCTCTGGCCTGAGGTCTCTGCTGTCTCCCCCGGGTGCTGTGACTGTCACTTCTCTGCTTCAGACATACCATGAGCCACATGGAGGTAGGATAGGCCTCCACACTTCCTCATTCCAACTTCTATGGCATCCTCTCTGCCTCTGAACATCCCTCTCAGAGCCCGATTCTGGACTTGTTCAGATGTGGGGCAAGGATACAGTCCCTACAAAAAGGAAGAGGCAACCCAAGTGGATCTCTAGTTGCCGCCAAGTCCCTAGCCCTAAGAACAGGCTCTGCCCTTGCAGGTTCAGAGTGCTCTTGTTTTGGCACTGAACAGATGGATCTGCACATACGGAAAATGTAATCACTGAACCCATTTCCTCAAAACTACCTTTCAAAACAAGACTTATGTTCTTGTTGTTAGAGAAATAAGTATCGTGAAACTGCTGAGACAGATTTGGCCCTGTGACAGCAAGAAGATGTGGGACAGTGCAGTCTCACTGAGGGTAAACAAGGGGATAAGCAATGGGAGTAGGAAGGGTGAAGTCATGGAGGATCCCTTGGCCCACTCCAAAGAGATGGTCGGGCCCAACAAGCAAAAGCATGAAAACAAACACCTCCATCAGGGCACAAAGGCGAACAGTGCTGGGAATTATTCAACTAGAAAAAAGAGCAAAGACAACAGAAGCAAAACAGGCAAAGAGATGGAACACAGTCACAACGAGTGAAGTAACAGTTGAAAAACAAGTGAAAAGACACTCAGCTTCAGGAATAACCAAAGACACTCAGCTTCAGGAATAACCAAAGACACTCAGCTTCAGGAATAACCAAAGACATGAACGCACAAGAGACAGTCACTCAGACACGGAGCATTCACACTTTGGTGATGTCCACTCCCCAGAGAGGAAAACTGCAGAGGACTGTCGCCTGTGAACATTTTACATACACCCACAAGCATTTTTTTATTAATTAGACATAGAACCCATCATTTCTAGCTCTACACCCTCCTGACACATGTTTTTAAGAAAAATGTTATTTATAAACTTATAAAAAGCAGAAGCAGAGAAGAGTATGAATCAATGTTCACCTGCGGCCAGCAGGTGGCGATCCTGCAGTTGAGACTCCCAGGAAAGAAGAGTGAAGAACCAGGGGCAGGATGGACGCTCATGGTGGACACAATCCCACCAAGTGGATAGCACTCTCTCCCTGCACACACCAGGGTCCCCAGGCATAGACGCATATTAGTGTGGGGGGGGGGCTCCTCCTGCCCCTTTCCTCAAGATACAAAGGTAGCAGAAGCCCCCACTGGGAAGCGAAAGAGCCTGCAATGGAGGAGTCCAATGACCCTAGGGGTGATATCAATGTCACTAGTTCCCTTAGTCTGAGCTGGTACAAAGAGCTGACTCAGATACATGGAATTCACAGTACACTTGAAGGCAAGGGGGGGTCACAGATCAACAACTTGCACAGGGAACACCTGCCTTCAACACCAAGCAGAGACCAGACAGACAGAAAATAGAAACAATGCAGAAGCAGACATCTCTGAGCACTAAAGAGACGCCAGGGAAGGCTCAGCAGGTGAAGGTACTCAGCAACCATTATGCCCTGAACCCACATGGTGAGAAAGAGATCTGACCCTCATAAACAGATCTCGAACCTCCACAAACATCCACACATTAAGATCAAAATGGTAATAAGTTTACCCAGAAACGGGCAAAGTGAGAATAACAAAACCCTACCCAGAAAATCGAATCCAAACAGCTATAAGATGAATGACAAAACATAAGAACATTGGGCTTTGTTCTGAAAGTCAATCATGAAGCTCACAAGAGCTACAGATGACAGAAAACGGAGGCAAATGAACAGTCCAACCAGACAGCAGACCCACGAGAGGAGAGCCAAGATTCAGAGGCCTTGCCTTGCATCTAGCATGAAAAAAGGGTACATGTAGGATGTGAGGTTCTCATACCCCAGAGGATTAACGAGAGTCACAGGATGCAGTCACACAGTGGGGTATAAGATGGAGCACAGGGGAGCTCTGTCACATTTACCAGAGCAGGGAGAAACCAGTTATTATAGACATTTGGGCAAAAGAGACTTCAAGGGCTGGAAAAAACCTGTCATAGGTTGAAGTGTGACACCCTCCCAAGTTCACATGCTATATAGAGTCCTATCTCCGGGCCTCAAGATAGGGCCGTTTAAGATGGAGAGTTTAAAGGCATTACTAAAGTAAAACATCAGAGCAGGCCATAATCCATGCCGACTGCATCTTTACAAGGAGATATGAGCAAGGGCCTGGAGATATAACTCAGTTTATATTGAGCACCTGTCTAACATACGTAAGCCCTGGGCTTGATCCCCAGTACAGCATAAAACCGTGTGATGGTGCGCACCTGTAATCCTAACACCTGGGAGACGAGGACAAGAAAATCAAAAGATAAAGAGATAATCAATGAAATCAAGACAGATATTCGCGTGCGCACGCGTACACACACACACACACACACACACACACACACACACACGCAAAACAACTAGGAAAAACTTCATTTGCACACCAAGAAGCAGCATCCCACAGAAGACTAAGTGAAGCACTTTGATCTTGGACGTTATCTGTTCTTTAAGTCCCGAGTCCGTGATTTGTCATAGCAGCCTCAAGCCAAGGAACACAGCATCACAGAGAGCAACCACTCACGGCCATCACCCCGAGAGCTGGCCCTGGATGAGGCAGAGCATGCCTGCAGCCAGGACAGCGCTGTGCTGAAGACTGCACTGCCCAGTATGGCAGGCGCTAGGATTGCTGGAACAGCTGGGAATAACCATCAGGTGACCTCAGTGCATAGCCGCATGCAAATGCGCAGCAGCTGCGTGTGTTGGAGGCCACTGCGTGTGGTCTGCAGTCAGGGAAGGCTCCATCAGTCCAGGAAGCAGTCTGGATAGCGCTACTCCACAAAGGCTCAAAACAACAGAAATAAAAAGCATGGCGACAGTTGAACAAAGACTAATGAAGATACTTAACACATAACTAAAGACAAACAGTCCCATGGGAGATGGCAAGATGGCTCAGCAGGTGGGGATGCTTGCTGCCAAGCTTGACAACCTGATTTCTATCTATGGGACCCACACGCTGAGAGGAAGCAAAATCACACTCCCACAATTGTCCTCTGACCTCCACAGGCAGGCTGTGGCGCACACCCACATACACACAAACACACTGAATAAACAGACGTTTTTTAAAAACCCAATGACCTAGCCTCACCCCTGTCAGTATGTCCAAGTCGAGGCTGACAGGTGTGCAGGGTAGCAAAGGAAGCCTCGGTGACAGCTGGAAAATGAGCAGACTGCAAGCAAGCAGGACTAGGAGGAGGGACACAGCCTCAGACAAGCCAGGACGCACATGAGAGGTTAAAGGTGTTCTGAAGACAGAAAATCAAGGTCCCCTCTGTGTGAGGAGTCAACAAAGACAGAACAGCAGATTTATGAGGCGGAAGACAGCCAACTTCTAATGTAAAGACGAACGACGCGCAACCTCCTCTCAGTGTGAAACACACAGCCTGTCACCTGCGGCTGCTCAGGCTGAAGATCAAGTGGATCAGGCTGCTCCTTTCTTCCTGGGCCAAATGACTCCTCTGGGAATATACAGGATGAACTAGAGAGAGAAGACAGGTAGAAAAGCTTTAGTGTGCTGGGCATGGTGGGACATACCAGCACTCAGGAGGCAGAGGCAGGCGAGTCTCTGTGAGTGCAAGGCCAGCCTGGTCTACACAGTGAACTCCAGGACAGTCAGGGCTACACAGTGAGACCCTTTCTCAAAACCAAAAACAACAACAACAAAAAAATAAAATAACAAAGCTTTGAGGGCTAGAGAGAGGGCTCAGTGGTTAAAAGCACTGGTTACTCTTGCAAAGAGCCTGAGTTCAATTCCCAGCACCCACAAGGTGGCTCAAAGACGTCTGGAGCTCCAGTTCTAGGGGAGCCAACACGTTCTTCTGACTTGGTAGAGCACGTGGTAGACATACATGCATGCAGGCAAAACATTCATACACATAAAATAAGCACACACTAAAAAGGTTAAACAAGAGCTTTGGTGCACACCCCGTTCTCGCCCACTCTGTTCCTGGGCCCAGCCACACAGAGGTAAGAACTGGCGTTAAGGCCCAGATGATGCTAGGCCTACATGCTGTTTAGTCAGTACTATAACACAGGGCAGTGGGAGCGGATTACAGGGCCACACACTGGCTCTCCTGGGCTTGACATGGTGGTACACACCTTTAATTCCAATATTAGGGAAGCAGAGGCAGGTGGACTCTGAGTTCCAGGCCAGCGAAGGCAACAAAAACAAAATAAAATAAAAACAACAAAAAGTCCAGCTTTACTGTACTCCATTAGTATGAGATCACAAACGAAAGAAGGGCAAACTTAGCCCAAGGCACCCCCACACCTCAGAAGGCTACTCAGTGGGAAAAATGTCTCCATTACCTGATCTCCCCACACTCCAGAGAATCCTCCCTGGTCTCCTGTAGCCGTTGCTGGAACAAGGTCAGGTCTTCTTGGTATGTCTTCTCAGCATCCCTCAACTTCTTCTCAAAATAGACCCGCAGGTGCTCCAGCTCCAACTCGTGCTGGGCTCTCTCTTGCTGCTGCTGCTGAGCGAAGTCCGCCCGCAGGTGCTCCAGCTCCTCCAGGTGAGCATTTCGGGCCAGCAGCGGCTCCCATGACCCTTCGGCAGGAGGAAGCAAATAATCATGCAGGAAAGCAAGGTTCCTGAGCAGACTCTGAGAAGGGCCTACCCCTCCTGACTGTGAGTAGGTAAGAGCCTCCTGCCTCAGGGTCACTCAGCATCTTAGCAACCCCTTAGAAAGCCGAGCACCTGGGAAGCAGGGCGACTGGTTGTGGCAAGAAACATGGTCCTGGCAACAGAGAACTGTATCCTGCCATTATCTCAGTGACTCTAGAAACAGGTTTGGAGCAAGGCACAGCTGCTGACCCCTGGTCGTGAGCTGAGGGAGTTCCTGAGCAGAGAACACAGACACAGCACCCCAAACTTTCTTTGAGCTTATATTCGAGGCTATCAAAGTGATCATTTTCTGCACAGCAACACAGAACACATGTAAGCCTGCAACCCAGCGAATGCTACCGACTAGTCTTGTGGAATATTACTTTAACTACATAAAGGTGTGTTACATTTGTTTATGCTGCATTTGCTTAACTACATAAAGGTGTGTTGCTTTTGTTTATGCTGGATGTCTAACTATGTAAAGATGTGTTGTTTCACCTTGATTGCCTAAGAGACCTGATTGGTCTAATAAAGAGTTGACTGTCCAACAGCTGGGCAGTAGCGGGATAGGTGGGGCTGGCAGGCAGAGAAAATAAGTAGGAGGATCTAGGCTTGGGAGAAGAAAACAGGGGAGAGAGAGAGATCCCTAAAGGCCAGTCAGGCAGCTGCCAGCCAGCAGACATGGAGTAGGAATTACAAAAAGAGAGGTAAAAAGCCTGGAGGCTAAACATAGATGAAGAGAAACAGGTTAAGTTAAAAGAGCTAGCAAGAAACAAGAATAAGACAAGGCCGAACATTCATAAATAATTCTCTGTGTCATGATTTGGGAGCTGGCTGGTGGCCCGAAAGAAAGTCTGCTACAAACTATGGCAACCACTAACAAACAATGTAGATTGACTAGTTACATCCCTAAAGATTTTATATCAAAGTTCCCTGAAAGATGAAGTTCCACAGAGGGCCATGCTAGTCCTAGTCAGCCTAACTCTTCTCTAGTCTCTACTAACACAAGGACCCTGCTGTAAAACACCCAATAGCACCACCAGGTACAGCTGACACGTGAAGGACACTGTACACCAGAAGAACCTGTCACATCGGAGGCACAGTCATGTGATCACCACTCAGCTGATACACTGAGGGACAAAAAGACAAAAATGAAACCTCTCTAATGTACAAATTCCCTTTCCTTTTTTAAGGATTTATTTTTACTTTATGTCTACGAGTGTTCGTCTGCCCATATGTATGGGCAAGCAGTGCCCATAAAGGCCAGAAGAGGACATAATATTCCCCAGAACTGGAGTTATATATGGTTGTGAACCTGCCATAAAGGTGCTGGGAACCAAGTGTGTGTCATCTGCAAGAGCAGCAAACACATTCTGATGTCAAAATTTTTCATTTGTATACAAAGCATATAACATTTTCAAGATGCATAAGCCATGCCTTTAATCCCAGCACACGGGAGGCAGAGACAGGTGGATCTCCATGAGTTCGAGACCAGCCTGGTCTACAAGGACAAGCTCCAAAGTTACAGAGAAACCCTGTCTCGAAAAACCAAAATAAGACGTATAAGCAAATTCGCAAGATGTATTTTTCCTCCTTCTCTCCCCCTCCCTCCTTCTCCCCCATGTTCCTCTCTCCCTTTCCAAATTCTTCTCTCTCTCCCCCTCTCCCCCCCTCTCTCTTTCTCTCTCTCTAAATGTGGTTCAATCAAAAATCAGTTTCAGGACTGGGATTTGATCAGTGAGTGATACAGCCCTTGCTAAGAATGTACAAGGCCTTAGGTTCAATATGCCACTTCAAAATGAATGAATGAATAGATAAATAAAAGAATAAATGAAAAATCTTCACAGCTTAGCCTTTAAGGACCTAAACACCCCACAAAATTCCTCACCATTGAGTTCCTCTCTGTTGGTTTTCATAGACTCAAGCTGGGACCACAGGTGTCTGATTTCTTCTTGGGACTGAGCCTTTAGGTCTTCATAGGATGCCTGAAGAGTCTCTAACTGTGAAGAAGAAAAATGTCCCATGAGAACCAAAGGAGACGAACAGGCAGCCCGTGTGTGGATCTGTGTTACTGTTCCTATCTCTGAAACTACAGAGTTTCACATCTCATCTCACGAGAAAGCATGAAATACATAGAGAATAAGAGCTCAGATCCTGAGCCTGCAGCTCAAATAGCAGCAAAAGCAACAACTGAAGCACAGCAGTGTGAGCAACTCCAACCGAGCAAGGCCAAGGCTAACGAGAAGCAGTGGTGCACACACTGCCATCCCAGCTACTAAAGAATCTGAGGCAGAAAAAACTGCTTGGGCTCAGTACTTCAGGGCCAGCCTGGCCAACAAAGCAACACTGTTTCAAAAATAAAAATTAAAGTAAGTTTGTTCACAAAGCAGCTTTAACCTGGGCCATGCCCTGGGAACAACATGCCTCCCTGCCTATTGACCTGGACTAGGGTTGTGGATTTCTACATCACATACCCCAGGTGTGCTCACTTCAAGTCATAGGTCCCTGCTTAGAGCCGAGAGGGTCACTTTGAAACTACTCCTGGAACTCCAAGGCAAACATTCCGGTGGATTCCACTCCATGTTTACCTAGGGGAGTCTAAGAAAATAGCATGAACCACAATACCTACACTACACAAAATAAGGAGGCTCCCCCATTTCACATTAATGAAGTAGGTTCCCTCCAACCTTTTGATTGCAAAGAGTTCACACACCTACACTGCACAAGTAACTCCTAATTGTGGAATTAATCTTCAGGTATCAGGAACAAAAAAAGATGTCACCAGGACCAAGGCCAAAGTGAAGCCCTGGTTCAGGCTGCCATGCACTTCTGTGTTTCCACACAAAGGCCTCCAGGAGCCCGAGTGGCCACTTCCAGCAGCCTCACCAGCAGAAGGATCTGCCAATTCACCGATGAAAGAAGAAAATAACTCATGATTGAGACTACCGTTGACACCATGGACTCCAGATCCATGACTCAGAACATTACAACGGGATCTGACCAGAAAGCCTCCTTCCTGGGACCTGGCTTTCATAGTCACTGAAGGTGCCACACAAGCTCCCAAAGTGGGAAAGCAACCAACAACCTGATGCAAATGTGACACCTATGAACCTCAACAACAACCAGTCCTGCGAGGTGCTCCTGAAGGTGCAATAGCGGCACCCACAGTTCAGTGGTAACCAACAGTTCTCCAACTGAATGTAAGACCCTCTCAACAGGAGGGAAATCCTACCTAGGACTAGAAACCTAGCCAACTACCTGGGGCTAGTGAGGGCATGAATTTTGGAGGAAAACTACTACCATTACTTGACAAGGCCAGCATAATTCCTAACTGTATTCTAAATACTTACGTGTATATGCACAGCTAAGTGTATCTCTCAGCCCCCCTCTCCATTCAAAGAAGCTTCTCCTTGCAGCAGAGACCATCACAGAAAGCCACAACTGGTTTAGTCCAAATACAGAGGACTGATTTAGGGGTACCCAGCACCAACTGATACATCTACAGCACAACTCCTACACCCGAGGCTCAGAGAGGAGCAGAAAGATTGCAAAAGCCGGGAAGACCAGGAAATCTGCTGTGAAACTGTCTCCTAGAAATGACAGGGAGGCTTCACTTTCAGTGTCTCAATAATAAGACTGCCTAAACAGGAACCCAACAATGAAGGCCCTGATAGACATAGAAGGCCATACTAGTAATGAAGAACTATAGGCAACTCTTGACTTCTGAGAGCTTTAGAATTATCAAACTGTTAATTAGTTATTCAATATCAAGCTGTCAGCCCTGAAATATAAGCAACACTAAATGAACTCAGTGGGTGATATTTATATATTTATGTATATATAATACATATGTAGATATATAAAAACAATAATATCAAAAAAAGAGTTCATAAATTTGAGAGGGTGTAAAGGGGGCTAGGAGGACATGGGATAGAGGGATGAAAGGGAATGGTGAAAATGCTGATATATTTTAATTAAAACTTTTAAGATTAGTTGAAGAACAACAACAACAACAGGCTGGGTGTAACACCAGTACTGTAACACCACTACACCAGCACTGGGGTAACAGAGACAGGAGGAGTCTAAGTTTGCCAGCAAGGCAGTCTAGCCAATCAGTGAGAGATCCCATCTCAGAAGACAGAGTGCAATAGAGGGGATGCCTGACATCAACCTCTGTGTGCATGTGAACAGCCACACACACCCACACCCACACCTACAAATGCCCAAACACACATATAATCAAGCAAACAAAAAGAAGTTACATTTTAGCCTACCTCCAACTCTTTTTCTTTCTCTTTTTCTCTGAACTTCACCTCTAAATCTTGTAAATACTGGCAGTGCTCCGACTGCAGGTCTTCCTGTAATTTCTTGACAGCTGCCTGGTGCTGGGTCTCCAGGTTCTTCAGGGAAACTAGAAAGCAGCACAGAGGTCACCTAGCTTATGATGAGATGGTGCTCCCTTCTCCAGCAGCACTTTTGAACTGCATTTCATATCAAAGCCACAATTCACACGCTGAGCACTGTGCCCACCACATTCCACCCTGGGCACCCGGGAATGTCTACACAGGGGTATATATCAATGGCAAAAACGGAAGCAAAGCTGAGCAGGCTCCATCTGGACACCACCGCGGGAGTTCTTCCCGTGGAGGGAAGGGAGAAGCACACAGGCACAGACAAGTAATAACATCTCAACTCACAAGAATCATCATGCTACATAACATCTGGAGAAGCAAGAGTGAGCGGCCATCATACTATTCCTTCAGTAATAATTTAGTAATTGAATATGTAAGAGGGATCTATGAAACAGAGGCTGGGCAGTTGGCTAACAGCCACAACACCTCCTGGGCATTCAGGACCTCGTATGTCCTCAGCAGCTTGAACGGGAAAGCAAAGGCAGGAAAGGCAAGTCCACCTGCAATGGTGTTCACTCTGGCCTCATGGCAGTCCCTCAGCCCCTCCAGACATGCTCACTTTAATCAGGGGCTCACCTTCAGCCTCATGCTTGGCTTGAAAAATCTTCTCCAGCTCAGCCCTCTGTTCTGCTAATTCTTTCTGAAACTGGTTTTGCAAGCCCTCCATTTCTGACTGGTGTTTTGCGGACAATTCTTTGCGGAGATTTTCCAAACACAGCTCTCTTTCAGATTCCCAGTCTTGCTTCAGAGTCTAATTTAAAAGAAACCATAGATAGTGGTACAACATAACCAACCTCAGCATGTTAGGTATCTCATAGACTCACTCTCAAAGGCTCTCGGAACCATCATAGTACACAGGGCCAATGGCAACCTGGCTAGCACCCAGGAACATTCACCACATTCACACCGCTGGCTACATTCACCTCTCCCCACCAGACTAAGCCCACGAAGACAGAAAGGGTCCAGAACACTATGTAAAAGGGCAGCTGAGAAACCTCACATTTCAGGAATCAGCACAAATGGCAAAACAAGTCTGCTAAGGCACAGATAAGAGAACTGACTTTCTACCAGCACATTCCAATTCCCTTGGACTGATGCTGTCTGCATCAAGGCAGGGGCAGATCAGCGGAATGCTAAAGTAAGATAGTGCACACACAGACTGTATTTCCAGTCCTCTACGCACCTCTATCATCTGGACGTTTTTCTCCATTTCTGAACGCAGCTTCTCCTTCAGTTCAGCTGCAAAACAAATGGAATAAGTTGCTCAGATCACAGACTTTCAACCTTCATGATCTCATCACCCAGGAGACATGGGGCTCTAGTATACACTATCCACTTGTGGGAGTTGCCACTGCACACTGGACAAGACTCCAGACAATGATTAGTTTAAGTAAAAAATGTATTCACATCAAAATAAAGAATATTGAAATTCCCAGCCACTCAGGCTCTCCTAAGAGTACAGCTGAAAATCAGCCGTGGGGGGGGTCCCATCACCGACACCCCCAAAGCCATGCGAACCTCTGGACAAGAGAAATGCAGGTAATTTGGTTCATGTGCCCACTGTGTTAGGGTCAAGGTAAAGTATTGAATATTAAGACATGAGAAACTGCCCTATGGTCCCACAGCTGCCAACTCAAGCAGACAGGTTCCAGCAGTGTCTCGGGAACTGATGAGCCTTCCAGGGAGAGCCTGCTGTAAAGGTCAGGGAGGGGCAGGACTGAAGAAGCATGGGGCAGAACAAGGGGGCAGCAGACAAGTCTAAGGTGACTGAAGGGCTGGAATTCATCATCCAAGAGCAAGGTGCTGGGCTGGAGAGATGGCTTGGAGGTTAAGAGCACTGACTGTTCTTCCAGATGTCCTGAGTTCAATTCCCAGCAACCACATGGTGGCTCACAGTCATCTATAATGTGACCTGGTGTCCTCTTCTGGCATGCAAGCATACATGGAAGGAATGTTGTATACATAATGAAAATAAAATAAATCCTTAAATAATCAAGAAAAAGGTGCTACACACCCCAGAATGTCACTAAGTCCTTTGCTTTCCTTTCCTAGGAACGGCAGGCCTAACCAGGGGGCCACAGGGAAGAGGGGTCCTGGCAACTAGAATGAAAAGCATAAAAGGCTAAAAAGATTTTATATTGATAAAGAGAAGAAAACACAAACATGCATTTATTTTGTTTTGAAGTGCCTAAAGATAGTGGCACACGCTTTTAATCCCAGCAGAAGCAGGTGAATCTCTGTGAGTTCGAAGCCAGCCTGGTCTACAAGAGCTAGTTCAAGGACAGGCACCAGGCACCAAAGCTACACTGAGAAACCCTATCTCAAAAACAAACAAACAAAAGAAAACAAAACCATAGAAGGCATTAGGAAAACAGGTCTTCACACTGCGGGGAGAGCCAAGCAAGGGAGGAGGCTTTCTCCAGCAGAGCTGCAGTTATTTGTCACAAGGAAGCTGGAGAGGCAAGCCCAAAAGTAAACTCGCCCAGGAGGCAGTAACCCCTCTTTCCAAGTAAAGATGCTCTCAACTGCTATGGGGATGTCTACAGAACTTCGTAGAGACACCACAGGCTACGAAACTGTGCTACTTAAACACGCAGACTATTTGAGGTGGGATTACTTCTCAATAAAGCTGATGTTTATTTTTAGAAAATGTGGGGCTGAAGAGATAGCTGAATAGTTAAAACCACTAGCTGCTCTTCCAGAGGACCTAGGTTTAACTCCCAGGGCACACATGGTAGCTCAGAACCATACATAACTCCAGTTCTGGAGGAACAATGCCCTCTACTGACCTCCACAGGCACCAGGCATACATGTGGTTCACAGGTTATGCAGGCAAAACCCATACACACAAAATACAATCAACATCTAACTAAAGATAAAAGTCCACAGTGTCCTGGCCTATGGGCAGCAGGCAACAGACTAAGAATGCATTTGACCAGCATGCAGACCTGCAGCGTTACCACACCTAAGATAAACAGCCAGGCCAAACCCAAACAGTGCCCAGCAAGCAACACAGACCCAGTCAAGTGTCCTTGTGCCTGAAGGGGACCTGGGTCCCAATACTATAAAGGACTGGCCAACACAGAGGAACCTGGATGGTTCACCTCCCTCCCGAGAGAAAAAAACAGAAGCATGAACTTAAGTAAGACTTATTTGGAAAATTAACCAGCTAAGTGTGTGTGTGTGTTGGGAGGATCTGAAATTATGACCAAAAAAACATCAAGACAGTGGGGACACGGGGTCACGCCTTCCATTTGCTCGGTACCTGTTTCTTGCCCACAGCGGAGCATCACCGCTTCCTTCTCACGGGCATGCTGCTCTCGCATCAGCTCCAGTTCACACTGCTGCCTGCTCTGCAGCAGAGCCAGCTCCTGTGCCCGCCGGCCATTGAGCATTTCCCGCAGCTCCGTCAACGCTGTCTCCTTCTCCTTCTGCAGGTTGGCTTGGGTCAGCTCTAGCTGAGCCGTATGCATGTTGTTCAGGCTCAGGCGCAGAGCTTCGAGCTCAAGGCTGTGGGCTGTCTGCAGGCAGAGAAGAACCAGGCCTGATGAGATCCAGGTCAGAAACCAGGGTGGTAAGGGCAACACCAAGCAGAAGTTGGAAAAAAAGAAGAGAAAGACAAAGAAAAAAAGGGATGTGTAACACAAGAAGGATACCATCCCATCTCCATGCTGGCGTGTGTCTCCATGCTAAAACGGTATGACTGACAGCGCGTACTGGACATTCATCTCACATGTGATAGTCGTGCCAGACTCCCAGCCCCAGGTGTGCACATGTGACCCTCCATTTTGCTTGGGGAATGAACTCACAGAGACAGTATGGAACAACCAAAGAGGAAGGAGCACACCACAGCCCCCACCTGTCTACTCTGGAATGAGTCTCTCCCACCTGCAACGATCCCCAGCAACCAGGACCCACTGTGCCCTGGTAAGAATGGCAGAACACAGGCTATGACCCTGTGGAGGCTGAGAGCCATAGGCGGGCCAAGCAGATCACCTGGGGTGGCTGTGGCTGCAGTGGTGGCTGCTGCTGCTGTGGCTGCTGCTGTTGCTGCTGTGCCTGCAGACCAGTCTCATCCAGTTCACAGTCTTGTTCCTAGAGAAGCAAAGCAAAGAATGTAGCCTAGAGAATTCACATGAGAAAAGGATGAATACACTAGAGAACTGAAAAACTATGTCCTGGGGTGGGGGGGTTCATAAATAGTCACAGCAGCATTATCCATGACAGACACAGTATGAGATGAACACATCAACAAAATAGCACACAGTTGTCTTTGGTATCTTCAGGAATGGGCACATAGTACAGTATATCCTACAAAAGACAAAGCATCTCCAGGTGTCTCTCTAGGTTACTTGTGACACCGAACAGTGTCAATGCTACTACGGAAACAGAAAAAAAATGTGTGCACTCAATACAAATGCAATTTCCCCAAAATATTTCCCCCAAATATTTGGCTGGCTCTGTGGACGTGGAATGCTGACTTCAGTACAATGAAATATTACAGAGCTACAGAAGAAAAACTGTAACACACACGACAGTACAGGCAAACTGAAACATGTCAACTGAAAGACAGAATCTTGAGTTCAAGGCCACCCTGGGCTACATGGTTTGGACCAGGAAACAATATATAGCGAGACTCAATCTTTAGATTAAAAAGAATGAAGGATAGTGGCACACCTGTAATCTTAGCACTGGAGCTGAGGCAGGAGAATTGTTAACTCTCAAAAGCTAGCCTTGATAACAGCAAAACCCTGACTCTATCAAAATAAAAGAGGACCTAGGAGGGCCAGCGCCACGGTGTGGTAGGTAAGGATGTGGTAAGTAAGAGTGAGCACCTCTGGAACCTAAGAAAGAGCTAGATGCGACAGTAATTCGCACCGCAGTCCCAACAGAGCTGTGCAAGTCAGAAGGCAGAGAAGCTGCTGGGAGCTCATGGACATAGTACAGCAGCAGAAACGAGAGCAACAACGTCTCATACAGGTGAAAAGACAGAATCGACCCCTCAAGAGTTCTCCTCTGGCCTTTACACTCTGAGCTATGGCACATACTTGCATCCCTTAGCCCTCAGACTTCACCAAAAAAAAATATTTTGTTTTGTTTTTTGAGACAGGATTTCTCACAGAGATTCGCTTGCCTCTGCCTCCAGAGTGCTGAGATTAAAGACGTATGCCACCACCACCACCCCCACCTCAGACAATTTTTTTAAATTAATTAATTATTTTATTTTATTTTTGGTTTTTCGAGACAAGATTTCTCTGTAGCTTTGGAGCCTCTCCTGGAGCTTCCTCTATAGACCAGGCTGGCCTCGAACTCAGAGATTCGTCTGCCTCTGCCTTCTGAGTGAAATTTTTTTTAAATGTTACTGAGAATGAGGAAAAGAATGACCTCAGAAAGGATTTAAAAGAAGAAAAAAAAAGTCAGCTGGAAAGCAACTAGAAATTTAACAATCTAAATGAGAAATCTCATAGAGGAGAGATCCGGGCCGGGGAAGACAAGAGCGACAGCTCAGCAGAGAAGAGCACTCCTCACAGAGGAGCCGGGTTCGATTCCCAGCAGCTACATGGTAGCTCACAACCACCCTAAGTTCAGGGGATCCAATGCCCTCTCCAGACCTCCACGGGCACCATGCAGAAGCATGGTGCACAGACATACATAAGGGCAAAACACTCATACACATAAAATATACAGAAGCCGGGACAGAAGCCCACACCTTTAATCCAAGCACTCAGGATGCAGAAGCAAGCAGATCTCTATGAGTTCAAGAACAGCCTGATTTACATAGAGTTCTGGGATATCCAGGGCTACATAGAGAGATCCTATCTCAAAAGAAAAGAAAGAAAAAGGAAAAAGAAAAATGCTATTGAGAATTTGAGGGAAGACTAACCCTTCTACTTTGTTGATGAGAATATAAAATAGCAATTATAAAAATCGGCATGGAGGGGCTTCAAAGAAAACTATAGCTATGCAACACCTAGGTAAACACCCAAAGGAATCAAAGTCATCATGCAAACAACAGAGGTGCCTGGACACCATTATTTTCTGCAGTAGTATTTACAATAGTCAAAATGTCCACCAACAAATGCATAAAGAAAATGTGATGTATACACACACGGGGGAGAGTTTTGTTCACCAACGAAGAACGCAATTCTGTTTTCAGGAAAGCAGAAAAAACAGCAATCATCAGATTAAGTAAAAGAAGTCAGACCCAGAAGAAAAAACATGCATGTTTTCTATGTGGAATCCACACCAAACTTAAAAAATACAGTGAGAGGAAGGAGGAAAAGGAAAGAATAGAGAAAACTCTTCAGGAGCCAGATCCAGCAACAGATCATGAATCCAGAAACACGGTTCAGAAGCTCCAAGCATTCCAGGAGCAACAACCAGGAATGGTTCATCCAGCCGGGCACAGTGGCGCACGCCTTCAATTCCCGCACTTGGGAGGCAGAGGCAGGCGGATCTCTGTGAGTTCCAGGTCAGTTTGGTCTAAGACAGCCGGCGAGGGCTACACAGGAAAACCTGATTCAAAAGAAACAAAAGAAAAGAAGAAGGAAGTAAAGGAAAAGGAGTGGCTCATCCATATTCTGTGAAACTCAAAACCTGAGTTCTTTTGTTTTCTTTATTTGGTTTGGGTGTTTTGTTTTGTTTCTTTTGAGATGGGCTCTCTCTATGTCTCTCTGGTCTCTCAGGCTGTCCTGGAACTTGCTATATATATCAGGCTGGCCTCGAATTCACTGAGACCCACCTGTCTCTGACTCTTGAGTGCTGGAATTAAAGGAGTATGCTATTGAGCTTAACTTTTTTTAAAAAAGTTTTTTACATATCTGTTTAAAGGTTTAATTTTTAGATTTATTTATTTATTTTTTTGTATGCAAGCATTTTCCCTGCGTGTATGTACGTGTCTAGTGCCTGCAGAGATTAGAAGAGGGTGCTGTATCCCCTGGAACAGGAGTTAAAGATGGTTGTGAGCCACCACATAGGTGCTGGGATCCTTGGTCCTCTTCAAGAACAGCAAGCACTCCAAACCATTGAGCCATTTCCCCAGGCCCGACTTAAACATTTTAAAAACTAGACAATGTTAGCTGTACATTACAAGCTTATCCTCCAAGAGCCTGAGCGGGAGACATACAGAGCAGTGTCGCAGGTAGTGAGCAGGGCAGTCAACACAGCTTCTCGTTTCTCTACCACCGAAAGAGGCTAGGGAAAAATTACAGTGAGTAGCAGCTAATAGCCAATGCAGGCCCACAGAGCACACCATGCAGAGGAAGTAACGGGCACACGCAGACACCCCTGTAGAGTTCCAGCTTGCCAAAGCGCAAGGTTGCACCAAAATAAGGTCTTAGAACTTTCAGAATAAAATTGCAATCTGTAGGTAGATCTCACATCTGATATACTGGCCACAATCAAATAAGGCAATCAAAACATATTGTTGCTGCCTGTGTAATTTGTCCTTTAAATTCTTTTCTGGTTAAGAGAAATTGGAGTTTACCAGCCTGAGCGGCACACTCGCTTACCATCTGCATAGGAGTTTCAAGGAGAGTTCCACTGAGGGGCACTCTGGACGTCGGGGGGTGGGGGTAGTCATGGAGTGTGCTCCCTACAACTCACAGACCTAACTCCCTACAACTCACAGACCTAACTCCCTACAACTCACAGACCTAAGGGCAGCTCCTTCCACCACACACCATTTCTGTCACATGTCCTCCCTTTCCCCTAACCCTACCTTCAGTAAGGTAGTGAAGTAGTGAGAGGGCACGTGTTACATCCAAAAGTAGGCAAAGGAATGTCACATGCAGGCAACTCACAGAACCACACCACACACGCGCAAACTGCTGTCACCTGTAAAAGATCCTTAGCGCCAAACCGACATCTGTCTTTGATCGACTGTCCAAAACTCTTCAAAATCATATTAGAGACAAGTCACTAGGTTGTTAAAGTCATTGCCGGGTAAAGCCATTGCCACACAATGTTCAATTTTCAAAACTCACATGAAGTTGGGAGGAGAGGACCCTACTCTACAAAGTCTTCCTCATGCACACTGCAGCATGAGTGCCCAAACACACACAATAATAAATAAAACAAACTTTAAAGATAAGTCATTTATTTACGCAAAACCTGTTTGCTCCCCTATTATGAACTAAAATGTCTCTTTCCCAATTTTTGAAAGGCAAAAAACCGAAGGCCACTTTTAGTAAATTACTACAACAATAACTGGAAGATAGGCAACACGTTAACATAATGACGAGTAAATCTACCTGAGCTGCAGACGCCCCTCTGGTCCCCTCCAGGGTGTTGCTGCATGACTTGCTTTCAAAACCAGCCCCTTCTTGCAGGAGCTCGCTGTTTTGAGTGGCTACCGAACCCTCCTCCTGGACAGGCGCATTGACAGCCGAACCCTTCCTCTTCGCCGTCTTTTTCTTCGAATTCGGACCGTCGCCTTTTGCTTTTCTCTGTCGGAAGCTAGCAAGCTGCGAAGAAATTTAGAGAAGTAGCAGAAACAGAGGTAAACGAGAAAAAAGTAGCAAAACCACAGAGTCAACACGCTTGTGGGGAGCATGAGGTGAGCTAGCTCAGGCCACTCAGCCACGCAAGGCCAAGGACCACTTTTCCGCCAAACACTGCCTTCATTGACATCTATGACCTTGGCATTAAGCTCCAAAATTATACCGAGTCTACTAATGACTATTAATTATGCCTAGATGCAGACAGAAGAAAATATGGCTGGTTAGAAGAATAGCTATTTAATATAATACTTGGCAGTTTTGGAAAATTAAAAATGTATCTATTTAACACACTGAGAGCTTAATTAAGGCACATGTAAGCCTTAAAACTATTATATAAAGCTAGATCCTTCCCTTCTTGCCCCCATTCTTCCCTAATCGAAGAAATGTATCGCCCAGCCAAAACTTCCTTGCCATAGATTCTGAGACAAGGTACAGAAATAGCAAAAACTTAATCAAGCCAGGTCACCCCAGCATCTTCCTTTATGGAATCAGATGTTCTATTTTTCATGACACGGCTCAGCAAAGCACTAGGGACCATCGCAGAATGCTGCCTGCCAGTCAGAGGCACAGCCGGGTTTCTTTCCGTCCCTCCAATGCAAGACTGTCAGCTGCATTCCCGCACCATCTCCCACTCACACCCCATTCAAAAAGCAAGTGCTGGAGCACACGAGCCTTTCACAGGGGACCACCTAGTCCCTCAAGTCACAGCCACGACCACGCAGGTAAAAGTGCCACTGTCAGTGAAAACCGAAACACAATTTCATTGGCAGAGAAAATAAACAAGGCCATTTATCTGTGTGAACAGAAATCTGAAGAACGGACACAGTCTGCAGCACCAACTGTCTTCTCGTCTGGTACCTTCCTCCATCAGACGCAACTATCTGGTGCAAAGCTCTCCTCTGCAGCACAGACCTGGTCTCTGGCTATGGTCATTCACCGGTGGCCTCTTGGTTTGTCTCATCGGCCTTCATCTCCCTTCGGTACATCTACTGGTGTTCACAAGCCACCCAAGAGCAGACACTAGTTCCCTAAGATAAAGGGCTAAACTCTGTACTCCCTCATTTCACGTGTCTGGCTTATAAAGGGGGAGGATGGTCTTTGCATCCCTCTTCGTACCTACCGCCTATCAGAGGGAAAAAGACCACCATGTCTTCAGGCTGTCACCTGTTATCTGACACTACTATGCTATTATTTCCACTATGTACATGTATGTTAGTGCGTGCGCATGGTGGGCGAGGGGAGGGGAGGTGGAAGGGTGTTTGATTCAAATGAAACATTGCTCCCACTGGGTAACTAGGCGAACCACAAAATCAACACAACCGTTTCAAGGTGGTTTCAATACCTAGTCCTAGGATGACAGAGTGGGGAACTGTACTGTGGTGCCACAGTCATGGCTGGTGGCCAGGGATTATCTTCCAAAATGTTGGCAACTTCTCTTCCTTTAGGTACCCAACACTTTTAGGTTCCTATCACTTTTCAAACAACTATCTTAACAGTTACAAACGTTCCCAGGGTGGAGAATCAAACAAAATCGAAATCGGGAGCAGAGGGAGATGAAAAGAGCAACATCAGAAGTATCGTAGCTGCAGGGCCCGGCCAGAGAGCGAACAAGAAGACACAGCGCCAGGGCACCACTGCGGAGCAGAAGCTCTCGGTTCCGGGAAAACCAAATCTGAAGGCAGTTTCTTTAAAAAGCCTTGGACAGTTCGACCCCGGGCACCAGAAGCACAACAACGAGGAATGCTAGGTGACCAGAACCCGCCCACGGCGCTCGGCCCGCCTACGAGCATCGCGCGTCTCCGACGCTGATTGGCTGCAGCTGCAACAGGGCGGGGCGAGGCCGAGGGCGGTGGATTCAAGATGGCGGCGGCTAGGAAGTGAATTCCGCAGAAGCGGCGGGAAGGGCAAGCACTCGGCGGCTCCCACTGCTCCGCCACCACCGGCTTTGGCCAGGCGGCGGTCTGAGCGCCAGAACATCCTTAGGATTTCTCTCCGCAGCAAAGCGGAGAGAAGGACGCTACCTTGGCTCTCCCGGCCTCCACTTTCCTGCGCCGCTCCTCCTGCTCGTCTTCTTCCATCTCCTTCCGGGGCTCTTCGGGAGTCGCTCGGAAGTAGCCGGACAGCCGCGAAACCTCCCTCGCTCTATTTACACTCCCTCCCTTCACTCACTCGCCTCCCCACCCCCATACACGCAACTGTCAGCACCGCCCCGCTGCACGGCCAATCCGGAGCCGTGTGCGGGTTTGCGCACGCGCGCTCCGGTGACGCTCCCGGGGCGGAGCGCCATCTTTCCGACCCTCCATTGGTGGCCTCACCGCTCCCACCCTCTTCGGCAACACCAATAAGCGGGATGCAGGATGCCCGGGGCTCGCGGCTGGTCGTCAACTGTCCGGCGGGAAGGTTTGGACAAACCGTTTCCCCGCGGCGGGCCTGCCTGGCGCCCCCTCCCGACAGGTGGAGGACTCACACGCGGGCGGCGGTCCAAGCCTCGGGTTCGCTCTCTCCACTCTCCGTGGATCTTGCAAAAGTCGTTTTTCAGATCCGCTGTCGCCTTAAGCCCCACAGTTCCTCAGCATTGGTAGGAAGCTAGCCTCCCCTTTAGTGAATTATTTGGTCACTGCAGTCAGCCTGTAGGTTTACTTCGATTCCTCCTACCTCCCTGGCCCTGCGTTGACCATTTCTGCCCTTCCTAAATACGGACTCCTGTCTAACACAAAAAACTTGGACAGTGGATCCGGAGTTGCCACTGAGAGGGCCGTTCTGTATATGCACACTCTTCTATGCACAGAGTTACTGTGTGTTCCGGCTCCTGACTGTGACTCCACCACCTCTACCTGGAAACAGCCTCACTGGTGTAAGAAAATCAATCAGCTACGGTCCACTTTAAATAAGAGGCGCGTTTAGAGCTCATCAGTGAATCACAGATACTCAGATCAGGAAGGATCAGGCCCCTGTCTTCCCTAGCCTACAGCTGGCGCCTGCTTAACCTGAGCTTTTTTTGACTTTTATGGGCTGTTATGTGACTAAGCCAATGTATTTGAAAACGGAGGGGATCTTGAGTTCCAGGATATGTGTTAGATAAGACTTTGCATCCTGCATCATTAGGATGAGGATTCTGTAGAGAGGGTAACTCCTGGAAGATTGTACCCCCTAAAGGATTCAGCAATGAGGAATTCAGGTGCATGGAAATGCATTTTATACCAAATCTGCATGCCAGTCATTTTTACCTTCTCACCAAATAAATTGCTTCACTTTGATTACTCAGAATCTCCAGGAGTCTAATGAAGTGTTTCTCACCCTGATGAAAATGGTGGAGGGGAGAGGTGTTCCCTCTGGGCTGACCTGTCCTTCCGGATATGTTGGTCTCTTTGAGCAATGCAATTTTTTTAATTAACTCTCACATATTAAACTAACCAATTTCTATTACTGTGTATTTTGCCACAAGGTTCATGGTTTACCAATAAAGTTCAAGGGCATCTTTCACCTTTGGCAGCTACATGGCATCTCCTTGACTTCTTTTCTTCTTGCCTTCTTTTCTCCTCTATCTTTGCTTGGATTTCCCACCTTTCTTTATTCTGTACTGTCACAGACCCAAGTAGCTTCTTATTTTACTGATATTTTTTCAGCTCTACATTTTTCTCTGCTCCCCTCCCTGCCTCTCCCTTTCCCGTTCAATCCTTCCCCCAAGGTCCCCATGCTCCCAATTTACTCAGGAGATCTTGTCTTTTTATACTTTCTACTTCCCATGTAGATTAGATCTATATGTAAGTCTCTCTTAGTGTCCGCATTGTTGTCTAAGTTCTCTGGGATTGTGGTTTGTAGGCTGGCTTTTTTTGCTTTATGTTTAAAAACCACCTATGAGTGAATACATGTGATAATTGTTTTTCTGTGTCTGGGTTACCTCACTCAAAATAATGTTTTCTAATCCCATCCATATTCCTGAAAATTCAAGCTGTCGTTATTTTTTTCTGCTATGTAGTACTCTATTGTGTAAATGTAGCACATTTTTTTTATCCATTCTTCGGTCAAGGGGCATTTAGGTTGTTTCCAGGTTCTGGCTATGACAAACAAAGCTGCTATGAACATAGTTGAGCACATGTCCTTGTGGCACGATTGAGCATCCTTTGGATATATACCTAAAAGTGGTATTATTGGGTCTTGAGAAAGGTTGTTTCCTAATTTTCTGAGAAATCACCACACTGACATCCAAAGGGGTCGTAGCAGCTTGTATTCCCACCAGCAATGTAAAAAATTCCCCTTTCCCCGAAACCTCTCCAGTATAAGTTGTCATCGGTGATTTTGACCTTGGCCATTCTTACAGGTGTAAGATGGAATCTCAGAGTTGTTTTGATTCACATTTCTCTGATGACTAAGGATCATGAATATTTCCTTAAGTGTCTTTCAGCCATTTTAGATTCCTCTGTTTAGGTCTGTACTCCATTTTTTTTTATTGGATTATGTGATCTTTTGGTGTCCCATTTCTTGAGTTCTTTGTATATTTTGAATATCAGACCTCTGACTGATGTGGGGTTAGTGAAGATCTTTTCCTATTCTGTAGGCTTTCATTTTGTCTTGTTGACTGTGTCCTTTGCTTTACAAAAGCTTTTCAGTTTGAGGAGGTCCCATTTATTAATTGTTTCTCTCAGTGCTGGGGTTCTATTTAGGAAGTGGTTCCCTATGCCAATGCATTCAAGTGTACTTCCCACTTTCTCTTCTATAAGGTTCAGTGTGGCTGGATTTATGTTGAGGTCTTTGATCCATTTGAACTTGAGTTTTGTGCATGGTGATAGATATGGGTTTATTATCATTTTTCTACATGTTGATGTCCGGTTATGCCAGCACCACTTGTAAAATATGCTTTCCTTTTTCCATTTGATATTTTTTGCTTCTTTACCAAAGATCAGGTGTTCGAAGATATGTGGATTGGTATCCGGGTCTTCTATTTGGTTCCATTGGTCCTCCTGTCTGTTCTTATGCCAATACCAGGCTGTTTTCAGTACTGTAGCTCTGTAGTAGAGTTTGAAGTCAGGGATTGTGATGCCTCCAGAAGTTCTTTTATTGCCCAGGATTGTTTTGGCTATCCTGGGTTTTTTACTTTTCCAAATGAAGTTGAGTACCGTTCTTTCGAAGTCTTTGAAGAATTTTTCTGGGATTTTGGTGGGCATTGTGTTGAATCTGTAGATTGCTTTTGGTAATTTTTTTTTCAGATGGGGTTTCTCTGTATAGCTCTGGCTGTCCTGGAACTCATTCTATATACCAAGGTGGCCTCGATCCACCTGACTCAGCCTCCCCAGCATTGGTATTAAAGTCATGTACCATTGCCAGGCAGAGCAATATTTTTAAAATGTTTGGAGGGCATCTTTTATATATTAATAATTGGGGAACTAGAGAGATGACTCAGCAGTTAGGAACACCAGCTGCTCTTCCAGAGTGCTCTCCCAGCACCTAATGGTAGCTCACAACCATCCGTAACTCCAGTTCAGGGGATCTGATGTCCAGGTCTAGCTTCTGAGGGCACTAAGCACACATGTGGTGCACATACATACACGTAAACAAAACACACACCTAACTATAAATCTAAAAAGAAAAAAGAAAAAAAAAACCTCGAACTAAAATGATTATGTTCGTGTCTTTGTGCAAAAATAGCAGATACCCTCAGAGGCCAGATGATATTGGATCCCCTAAAGCTGGAGTTACAGGCAGTTTTGAGTTGCCAGATGTGGGCTCTGGGACCTAAATTCTCGCGTGTGTGTGTGTGTGTGTGTGTATGTGTGTAGAGCTCGGAGCTAGGTGTTGTTACTCAGGCTTATAGCCCCAGCACTTGAAAGACCCAGGCAGGTGGATCTCTGTTAGTTTGAGGCCACCCTGATCTCCATAGAGAATTCCAGGCTTCCTAACGCTACATAATGAAACCCTGTCTCAAAGAAGAATAAATATAAGAAATAAAAATATTGAAAGCTGGAAAGCTGGTTTAGTGGTTTAGAGTATGTCTTAGTGGTAAGGTTGCTATGATGAAACACCATGACCAGAAGCAAGCTGGCGAGGAACGGGTTTATTTGCCTTACAAATTCTGAATCGCACATAGTCCGTTAACAGAAGCCAGCCAAGGTAGGAACTGAAACCAGGTGGATCCTGGGAGCAAGAGTTGAAGGCAAAGGCCATGGAGGAGTACTGCTTACTGACTTAATCAACCTGCTGTAGAACCCAGGTGTATCCCCTCAGCTCAGGTGTAGCCACCCAATGGGCGGGGCCTCTCCATCACTCACATATTAAGAAAATCGCTGCTGGGTGTAGCCGTGTATATCTTTAATCCTAGCACTGGGGAGGCAAAGGCAGGTGGGTCTCTGAGTTTGAGGTCAGCCAGGGCTCCACAGAGAGACCCTGTCTACATAGAAACTAAAGACTTTCCTGCTTACAGCCTAATTTTATGGAGACATTTTCTCCTGGGGTTCCCTTCTCTCAGATGACTCTAGCTTGTACCAAGTTGGCATAAAACTAGGAGCCAGCACGGATTGCATACTGCTCTTGCAAAGGACCAGAGTTTGGTTCCCAGCACCCATGAGAAGCAGCTCACAACTGCCTATGATGTCAGCTCCAGGGGGATTTAAATGCCTCTGACCTTGACAGCACTAACTCATGTACAGACACACACATTCACATAATTTAAAATAATAAGAATACATCTTTAAAATCTAACTAAAAATTAAAATATTGGGGCTGAGCAATGCCTCGGGGACTGGGGCACTGCTGTTCTTGCAGAATGTTATAGGGGTCTAGGGTCACCAAGGAGAACCTCTCAGTTCAGTCCCTAGGATGGACAAAGAACCGAAAGTCCTGGGAAGAAGACTAAGGTGGAGAAAACAAAAAAAAAAAAAAAAAACCCAAAAAAAAACAGGCTGGCCTTGAACTCACAGGCTCTTCCTGCCTCTGCCTCTGCCTCCCGGGATTAAAGTCTTGGTATTAAAGGCGTGTGCCACTGCTGCCTAAGCTCTCTAGGGTATTTTTAAACTTCTTCCCTTTTAACATTTTTAGTGGCATGTGTATGTACACATGCATGTGTACACGGTGGCATGTGTGGTGGTCAGAGAACAACTTCTAGGAGCTGATTCTTTTTTTCTAAGTTGGGTTCTAGGGATGGAACTCAGGTGCCAGGCTTGGTGGCACACACCTTTTTACTCCTCAGCCAGTCTCACTGGCCCTCTGACGTCATATTCTCCAAACTCACAGCTGCTGTAAAAGAAATGACAGGCACTCCTCTGACTGACTGCGATTCTGGAATCCTTACTTCTTTAGCATCATTCAGCGGGATTCCCAAGTAACTAGACTCTAGGAAATTGACGGACTGCTTGCTGTGACCCTGTCATCAGAAAGAAAGGGCCTTTCCCCTCCACCGCAGGAAGCAGAGGCAATGTGGCTACAGCACATACTGCCTGTGGGCTGCTCACTAAACATGTGGCATGGGATCTCCCTTCTCTCCAGATGTGGCATGGGGGTCTTTCTTCTCTCCAGGAAACCTGCTTTTTGTCTTGTGGACCTGAAGCCCTTCAGAGTCTATGCCTGTTGGTGATCTACCTATGCCATTAGAAACTCTTAATAAATCACTTACCCAAAGGACAGTCAGACTCAGTGTCATTCTTTCAAACCAGAGATCTTATTTATAGTAAGGAACAGACCCGCACAGTATTAAGGTCTGCGGGTGCTATCAGCGAGAGTGGCAGTGTGATGTCTTCATCCTCCACTTGCCGAAAAACATGCAAGGCCATTCGGAGCCCTTGGCCCTGAAACTGTTACCTTTATCTATGATGGGAATACAGGATTTGATGATGGAAGCTGCCTCCTTCAGCAGAACCTCCACATCAACTAAGCAGAAATTGATCAGGTGACACTCGCTCAGAAGGCCCTGTGCAGGGGTGTGATGCTGGAGGACTTTGCACACGTGCCTTTCTGGGGCATCTCAAAACTGAGCAGATATGCTCAACTGACTGAAAGAATAGTACTCACAACGGAGGCAAACGTTCCTTCCAGTCCACTGTGCTGGGAGACAAATGAGGCCTCATTCCTGTCCTTTAAATCTGCAAAGGAAGATTTGAGAGCCCCGTAATTGATGCCTTTCTTTCATAATTGATTCCTTTCTCTGTAATCATGTATACTTCTCGAGATGCTTTTCATTTCATGAAAACCTTTCCTTGTGAATCACACACACACACACACACACACACACACACACACATACACGCCTCACGCAGAGGCTGTGAATAGGATGGGCAGGAGTAGCAAATGGGAAACAGAAAATACTGAGCAGTTGTACTGAAATAATCCACTAGAGAAAAGTACAAACCGCCATGCTCAATGAAGTCAACTGACAACTGCCAGTATATTGAGCCCTCTGGCTGGTTCACCAGGAGCGGGCTGGTGTCTGGGACCCTTGGGGTGGACACAAAGGAGCATAAGGCTTTTAAATTCAAAATTCTGTACCCACCCTTGTGCAGCTGGGGAGGGGTCTTTACAAGTAATCGTTGATACTGTAAACATCATGTGAAGCCACACCTCCTTCCTGTTTTCACACCTCAGTGTAAATCCCAGCCTCCCACTTCCATCTTTGGAGGCCCCTCCCCTGTGACCCTCGAACCTTGACCCCTCCCCAGGAAAGGTCAAGACCACTCCCATACACTATTTAAACTGCTCCCCAGAAAATAAACACGTGGTCTTCCCTTTTCCTCCCCTGTGGTGGTCACGTTGGTGATTTTACGTTCCTCTCCGGGCCACCCAGGAGCACAGGTGTCTAATTAAACTTGGATATCTTTTAATCTGGTTTGATTTGGCTTGATTTCCCAATTGTTTTGCATAGGCAGAGAGCTCGCGTTAAAAAATATTCCTAACAATCAGGACCATATCTCAGCAGGGACGGAGGACCCTTTGGGTGTTGCAAAACTCTATATAAAGAGGAATGAGAAGTCTTTTGTTTGCTCCTAGGGTAGGAATTGTGGAGGCTAGGCAGCCTGACCTTTCTTAAGCTATTTCAGTACCTCTTGATGGTTTCCCAATGAGGGAAAAAGTGAACACCCCCAAAACTTAACCATGCTGCAGCCCTACCTGGTGAAGCTGGTAGGATAACACAGCCCCCGTATGTTCGTAGCTACATGACCTGGAAAGAAAGATGGGGCACGGGAGGACAGGTCTGAGCATTTCCTCTCCCATTTCTTCAGATAAACCCCACTGTCTTAACACATTGAACGCCTTCTAGACAATAGATCAGTGGGTTTTGGGGTACTTTCTACTCAGTTTACTTGTCCCACACCATGTCCAGCTCAACATGGCTTGTTGTTGAAGTTTGCTCTGTTGGGTTTGTTCCCTCCTCTCAGACAAAAACAGAAACAGTTCCTTCCCTGGACTCACAGGGGTGACACGTTACCAACAGACTTGTCAGACAGGAGAAGCCTTGCACCTAAGTGACGACAACATAAACAAAACTTCAGGAGCTTTGGGAACGAAGCCGCAGAGAACTACTCCTCCCTGGGCCAGATCGCCGTCCCCTTTGGTGAGTGGAATCCTCTTGACTTCCAGATTTGGAATCGGGTGTTTGTGCAAATGAGAGAGTAGGCTCTTTAGAAGAAGGGGCCAGAAGGATAGCAAGATCAGATTTCCCAAGAGCAACCAAAGCCCTGAGTCATACCTGAATCTCTGGTTTTAATGTTATTTTTATCTATTTACAACGGGCAGTAGGGGAGCATGTGCCCAGTTCACCCGAGCCAACATCGGCAGAAAGTCATTTACACAGAAACGCGAAGAAGCTCTGCAAACGTCGCACTTGGATCTTATTTCAATTTATTTTTAGTATTAAAAGCTGTAGAAGTGAGTTACACTGATGCTCTCCCAGGCTTTGGATGTGGCTCCCTACCCTGTAAACATTTACTGTGCCTAGCAACTGCCTACCAAAGAGGCCAGTCCAGTAAGGCATTTTGCAATAGAGAAACAGGGGAAAGTGGTGCTGACAGATTGTGTCTTCGGTACAACATCATAAGAAAGGCACCAACTCCCAGAAAGCCACAAGCCAAGTCAAACTGGGAGAAAACATCATAGACATCCCAACTGAGGATAGTGTTCCCTTTCCCTTACTAATCCTGTTTATGATACCCGTATGCCTTGCTGTTTCTCCTAGCAATGTCTTCTGGGAAAAGGAGCCACCATCTCAGGAAACCTGTCTTTACTATCCTCGTCTATGGCCCTCTAAGTCTTGTGCAATCTGATGTAGTTTCCAGAGTTAGCTGGGTTCAAGGGGTGCTGACCGTACCCTGGTTGTCTCTTAGGTTCATAGGGATTAGTTAGACCCTGCTGTGGCCCATTTTCATCTCCTTTCTCAGAGGCACTGACTTCCATCCCGTTTGGTTCAGAACCTTCATTCTCATGTGACTTCCTTTCTTATTCTCATCTGCATCCTCTATGCCAGTGCACCCTCTGGGCTGGTGTCCCCTTAGGAGGTACACTTGACCCCTCTCTGGCCAAAGTCTCTGCCACAAATAAATTTCCTGAACCCCCCAGGGAGCTCCTTTCCTATGGTCCTCCTGGGTGTCCGGCCACTCTGCCTTTTTGCTTTGAAGGTTCCAGGTAAGGACAAGAGCGTCACCGAGACAGCTTTCTAGGGCTGTGCACCACAAGAACACTTGCTGGTAGGCAGAGCCTGGCTTCCAACTTTGGAAACTGCTAGACTCTAATTGGTTCTACACTGCAGAAAAATAAAAGCCAACAAGAAGTCATAGCTCTTCACATGAAGCCAGACTCAGGGGAAAGGCTTGCTCTGAGAGCAGGAACTCATGGCAGTCTGCAGGCAGCGGCAGCAGGAGATTAGTGCAGAGCGACAGGGGTTGACCACAGCACGGAGTGTGGGTCTAGAGGAGCTGGGGAGGCCTCCACTCATTTCTCTGTACTACTCCCCTAAGTAAGTGGTGTCTGACGCCATCTAAAGCCTGCCCTCTAGCTCTTTACCTCCCTATTGATCTGTGCCTGGCCACGCCTGTGGACCAGTGTTTACAGGCAACCCGTTTACTGGACACAGAACCCATCCTGGCAACCCGACCTCCCTTCCACAGGCTGGCAACTGTCATAACTCCAGAGCGGGCTCTGACACTGGAGTCTAGGGAGGGCCAGTTCTCCTCCTATTTAGTCTTTTCTTGTCTTGAGGCACCATGACCCCTGAGGGGGCTCTCTCGTGCAGATAAGCAAGGGCCAAGGCAGAGTGGGACCTCAGCCTTCTATTTCCATTTTTCTGCAGGCCTCTTACACAGTTGTTAGGATGCTGGACTCCTCAAGTGCAGATCAGATGACCCGATTGACATTGCGACTCCTGGAACAGGTAAGACAGAGCCTACCTACTGCTGTGCTCAACCCGTAGTTCTGCTCTAATCTCCTGCCTCAAAGGTGGGAGGCAGGCTGTACCTACCAGCAAGCATACTTCTGGGACACATCCCTATAAAACTCCTGTACCTACAGGCTCGTGTATAAAGGGAAATGAAACCAACATCCTGGTTGGGAAAAACCTGGTCATGCCCAGTCTTCTTTACCTTTTCAACCATCTATAGCATTCTGAGTGATCCATGACCAACATGCCTGTCCTAGCAAGCAATGATGCATAGGGCCCACGAACACTCACGCTACCCATGGTCAACTTCTCCGTATACTCTGCCTGCATTGTCCCTCTTCTACTTCCTACCAATCCCGGAATCCCTAGTTCAAGGCCCCAGTGGCCCTGGATACAAACCACAGGTAGTCTCTGCAAGGATTGCTACTCAGAAATCTGTCTGGAGTATCCCTCTTGGGGCCCTTCAGGGTAACCCTTGGGATTCATAAAAGTGCCCTCTTGGGACCCGCCAGAGTGTCCCCTTTGGGTCCCAGCAGGGAAACCCCATGGGGTCCATCAGTGTACCCCTTGTTGTGTATCGGGATGCTCTACTTGTATCTCATCAGATCATCCCTTGGGGATACCCTTTGGATTTAAGATGGCTAGCATACATTATGTTCGAGAACACAACTAGAAGAATCCTTAAGAGAATGGTAATCCCGTCCCACCTACCCACTCGAAAAGTGCTTCTTGCCCTCCATTCCTTTTGGGTGCTGACCACCCCTAGAGCTTTTGGAACATCAGCTGCATAGGCAGGTGGGCCATGCAAACTCCACTCACCAACCTGGAGCCAAGTCCCCATCACAGTTTCTTCCTCACAGATGCTGGAACAGGAACGAGAAAGCATGGACAGAGCAGGTAAGCGTTCTAAGATGCTTGGGCACATACCGGTAGGGAGGAGAATGGACCAGAAGAGTGGAAGGCAGAGCAGGCCATGGATTTTGTTTTTACCTGTAAAACAACACACACACACACACACACGAACACATGCACACACATTCACAATCATACACGCATGCATCCACATACACACACACACACATACGAATGCACCCACACTGGCATGCACACATGCTGAACCTTTAGCCAGCTGGCTCTTAGAGGGAATGTATCTTGTCGCTGAGAAAATGTAGGCACAGAAGGTCAGATGACAAACCTCAGCTTGCTTGGTGCAGAAATTGTCCCAACCAATTATTTCAGACTCATATTGCCCTAATTCCAGGGATAGGCAGAGCCTGAGTCTTATTCTTCTCAATACCTGGGACCAGAATATAGGTTTATGGACATCTGAATGAGGATCCAAGGCCAGAGAAGCATACCTTATTCTTAGAACATGGAGTATTCATGGCTCTGGGTAACTCCGGGAACACTGAGGGCAGCCAGCCAAACCTGGGAGCCTCAAATCTAGATGGAAAATGGCAAACCAGGCTACATGATCCAGGGAACCTACATACAACCCAATGGCCACAAATGTGCCAGAGGGCATCCCAGGTAAAGCTTCCAGAGAAGCCAGCCCTGGCATCACCAAAATTCCAGTTTCAGTGGAATGTCAGGGCAAGCCAACCCCTTTCAGAGCTTTGTCTGGAGGAAGACCCTCTCCCCCCATGTTGGTGAGCATGCCTGTCTTTTCCGTACAGCTTAGGGCCAGGGCTATGGAGGCATAACTGGGTCTTTGAGGCCTCCTGCAGTCCAGGAGTGCCAGAGCACTAAGAGAGATCTGGTCTACTGACTTTCAGTGCCTTTCAAAACCAAGAAAATCCACTGGGTTGACTCTACCCAAGCCCTCCCCTCTCTATCATAGCCCCTCTCTCCCCACCCTAGCCCTGGTCCCTCCTTCTTTGGGATGGATGTTTATGACAGACCTGAGCTCAGGAAGCTCCAGGCTACTCTGAACCCTAGGGTGCAGGGAAGTTGGGGCACTCAGCCAGGATATTTCTCAGTGATGTGTCCCTTCTCCATCCAGGACAACAGGAAAAGACAGGCACTTCCCTGCAGAATGCTTTGAGGAGAAGGAAGGACCTTCTACAGAGACTCTGGGTAGGCCCGCACCCTCAGCCAAGCCTGGGCCTCACTCTCCGTGGGCTAATACACTGGCTTGGAGACTCCAATTAGCGCTTGTCTGCACTCCTGGGATCAATTAGCTAATGTTTACAAACTGGGGGCTGGTAACTGAACGGTGATATTAAGAGACTAACACTTCCAGCCCATCACCTCCCTGGGGAAATTAGAGAAGGTAAAGGGTCAGGTATAGACAGTATGTGAGCTTAGAAACTGCTTAGGCCACTGCCACAGAGCAGGCAATGAGCCAAGGTCCATTGCCATAGGACAAACTAAACCGGCCAGCAGCAAGAAGTGACCGTGCCTAGAAGCATCTGTATGGGTGTCATCCCCACAATCCCCTTAGACAAGAGGTCTTCTCTTTCTGCATTGGGCAGATGCCAAAATGCATGAAGAACCATTAGATTCTTAGATTCAACCATTAGATTGTTGGCTGGAAAACAACCACCGGAAACTCATTACGAATATTTGGTATATGTTAAGAGAAGCAGAATTTTCAAGTGTTTACCAAGGAGTATTATTGAACTTGGGGTCACAACCTGTGTCCCAAGTTCAGTTTGGCCATCCATTCTCAATAGGCCAATTAAAAGTCAAATTAACAGTGGAAAACAGAAAAAATGATTTATTTATTACGGTCACATTGGCAAGAGAGACAAAGAGATCCCTAATTCCAGGGTCCACACTGAACATTTGGGTGCCATAGTCCCTGGCAGGGATGAGGATGGGAAAACCATACTGGTGAGAGCCTGTTCACCCAGTGAGGTTCATAGGTCTCTGCTGGTGGCTTTATAACCAACAGGCTGCCAATCTTTTAGGAACAGCAGTTGGTGAATGAGCACTCCCCAGTCCATGCCTGGAGGAGGGCACATGACAGAACCATGGCGCCAGCCCTGAACCCAGACGTGCCTCCCATGGAAGTCTTCCCTGCTGTCTCCCCACCTTTGCCCCGACACCCAGAGCCACCAAGGATCATTCAACACCCGGTAGGACTCCTGGGTCAGCTTCTAGCGGGGTAGGAGGGTCAGAACTGAGACTTCAGAGCAATGCAGAAGTGCACAGTGTTGCCAGCAGGCTGTCCAGTCAGGGAGGCCAGAGGTTTTTCTCTCTCTTCCCTCCAACATTCAGGGAGGGAGGCCTAGGATTCTCACATTTCTTTTCCAGTGGGTCCAGCAGGATATCAGTGCTCTGGAGAGGCTCACTCTGTTCAGAGCCAATAGTAGCAGGTTTACCCCTAGACTCTCGACACCATTAAATTCCGCCATACTCCTCTTAAAATGCATAAAAGTTAACAGACTGGACACATCAAATGTTAAATCCATTAAAGCAAAATTAATCAGGCATTAACTATCTTCCTGAAGGTAGGAAATATGAGAAACATTAAAAATATCATGTACATGCTGGATGCAGTGGTATATATTTACATCCTATACTCTGTAGTCAGAGACAAAGGACTTTTACGAGTTAAAGGCCAGTCTGGTCGACATGGTGAATTCTATGCCAGGTGGAGCCACACAGGGAGACCTGATCTCCAAAACAAAACAAAACAAAACCAAGTCCTAACCAGATGTAAAAATTTTTCTATTCAATTGTTTGTTTAACTTACAGTGTTAATCATTTAGATTTCTCTTCAGATGGATGATAGATGGAGGGATGGGTGAATGGGTGGGTGGATGGGGTGGATAGGTAGGAGGACAGAGAGATGGATGTGTAGACTGAAATGACTGGGTGGATGGACTGATGGATGGATGGAGGAGCCTCCTGAAGACTGTACACTCAGATGGCTAACCAACTGGCCTTTCTTAGGCCCCCCAGCCTCCTGCCACCATCATCCAGCAGCTACCGCAGCAGCAGCCACTGATCACACAGATTTCTCCTCCTCAGGGCTTTCCCACTCAAAGATCGGGAAGTATCAAGGAAGGTGCGTATGTGTTCTACCTTGCTATTACTTTAGGTTTGTGAAATTATATACTGAAAGGAAAAGTGTAGCACGATTAATAAAAACCCAGAGACAGATTCTGGGGTCCGACCTGAAGGTCAGAAAAACAAAACAGCCAGTCACTGGCTCTTCCCTCTACCTCAGTCTGAAATGGCGATCCTGCCTCCCGGAATCTCAGAATGAGACTGTGTGTGAGAGCTGCCTCCTCCTGTCTTATATTCCTCTCTAGGGCTGGGATTGAAGGTGTGCACCACTACCACATGGTTTCAATGGCAAACTAGTGTGGCTTCTGGGATTAAAGATGTGTGTCACCACTGCCTTTCTGTAAGGCTGACCAGCGGGGCTTTTTTTACTCTCTGATCTTCAGGCAAGCTTTATTTATTAAAATACATATAAAATATCACTACAGGAAAGTATTTTTGTAGATAGGTGTTGTGTGATACTTTTCCTGGTGAGGTGCAACAGAAATATCTACTTACACCAGAAGGAGAATCAGTAACAGACAAAAGTAGCAATACCACTGAAGTCCAACTTGGTGAATCAGTGAGTTTATTGGAGTTACTTACAGAAACAAGGACAGCTAAAAGGCACCCAGATCACCAAAAGTTCATCCCAGGGTGGGTAATGACTCATGAAAGCTTGGATCCAGAGCTCTAGAAATCAGTAGGTCAAAGAGTCTCTTCCGGGCAGCTTGGCTGGTCTGAGCCCCTCAGCGTCCTTACTGCTCACATAACTGTGGAAGGAGGTATTTTGTGTATCTAGCACATTTTGAAGATTTCCTGAGACTTGTGAGTTGTGTACTTTCTGCTTCTGTGGGGCTTTGATCTGTTGGAGGCTTGTTTGAACTAGCAGAGGATTAGATGCTTTTTCTGGAGGCTGGGGGCTGTAGGAGCAGGTAAGAAATGGCTTTTCCAGGCAAACAGAAGCCCACTTCACAAGGTTTGTGAGGAATGCTGAGTGTTTAGCATTGGTCAGAGGCCAGATTGAATTGAGCCCAGATTGTCCTTTAGAGGAGCTAAGACCTGACACTTCCTAAGCAATTTTTTAGAAGGATTTTATTTTGTGTCTGCATTGTTGCCAGCGTGTATATCAGGGTGCCATGGTCATGCATTGCTCTCAGAGGCTAGAAGAGGGCATCAGGTCTCCAGGAACTGGAATTACAGATGGTTGTTAGCTGTCATATGGATGCCGGGAATCAAACCCAGGTTCTCTGAAAGAACAGACAGTGCCACTGAGCCATCCTAACCACTGAGCCATTTCTCCAGGCATGTGTTTTATTTTTAATTACATTTATTTAGCTATGGGAGTGGGGGTGTATACACACCACTCTGCATAAGTGAAGATCAAAGGATAAGCCAGGCAGGTTACCTTGGTGACATTAGACTCAATAATAACTCCAATACAATTGTTCTTTGCTCTCTGAAAATAGAGGGCATAGTCAAAATAACGCCTATGAAAGACCATAATTCCTTCATACTCAAACTCAAAGATAAATGGTTGAAATTCTAGAAAAGAATTTAAAAGCCTAGTTTGAGCCATTACTTTCTCTTCAGCACTATATAAACTAGGTATAGTTTCTGTGGGATAATGTTCTTGTACCCTGTAAAGATTTGTCAATCATATTGGTTTAATAAAATGCTGATTGGCCAGTAGACAGGCAGGAAGTATAGGTGGAGCAACCAGACTAGGAGAATTCTGGGAAGAGAAAAGGCAGAAAGTCAGTTGTCACCCAGACACAGAGGAAGCAAGATGAAAATACCACACTGAGAAAAGGTACCAAGCCACATTATGGGTTAATTTAAGGTGTAAGAGCTAGTTAATAATAAGCCTGAGCTAATAGGCCACTTTATAATTACTATAAGCCTCTGTGTGTTTTGTTGGGACTAAACAGCTGTGGGACTGGACAGGACAGAAACTTCTGTTTACAATAGTGACATATCTGTAATCCCAGTACTTAGGATCTAGAGGTAGGAGAATCAAAAGTTCAGAGTCATTCTTGGCTACATAGTGAGTTTGAGGTCATCTGGGCTACATGAGACCTTTTTCTTAGAAAACAAAAAAGCAAAACATCAAAACCAACCCAACAGCCAGGCTTAGTGGCACACACCTTTTCCTCTCTCTCTCTTTTTATTTTTTGAGGCAGGGTTTCTCTGTTCTCTGTAGGTTTCTACAGAGCCTGTCCTGTCTACTAGCTCTTGTAGACCATGCTGACCTCGAACTCACAGAGATTCGCCTGTCTCTGCCTCCTGAACGCTGGAATTAAAGGTGTGTGCCACCACCACCCAGCAGACCACAGCAACTCTTATAAAGGAAAACATTTAATAGAGTGTCTTACAATTTCAGAGGATTAGTCCATTCATCATCATGGTGGGACACAGTGTCATACAAGCTGACATGGTGCTGGAGAAGGACCTGAAAGTGGAGAAGGCTACATCTTGATCCCACAAGCAACAGGACATGGTCTGAACTAGGCATCTCCTGAGCATAAGAGACCTCAAAGCCTCCCCGCCCCCACCACGACACACTTCCTCCAAGGCCATACCTACTTCAACAAGGCCACACCTAATAATGCCACTCCCCATGGAGCTTATGGTAGCCAATTACATTCAAACGACCACAGATGCACACTACAGTGGTGTGAATTAAATGGCACTGTTGACTACAACAAACAATTAAGAGGGGTTTTTACTGTTTATTTTTGTTTTACTGAGACAGTGTTTCTCTGGGTAACTCTGGCTGTCCTGGAACTAGCTCTTGTAGACCAGGCTAGCTTTGAACTCACAGATCCGCCTGCCTCTGCCTCCCAAGTGCTGGAATTAAAGGCGTGCGCCACCACTGCCCAGCAAGAGTTGGGGTTTTTTTGTTTTGCTTTGTTTTGTTTTTGTTTTTCTTTGTTTGTTTGTTTTTTGTTTTGTTTTTGATTTTTCGGTTTTTTGAGACAGGGTTTCTCTGTAGCTTTAGAGCCTAGCCTGAAACTTGCTCTGTAGACCAGGCTGGCCTCAAAAATCACAGAGATCCACCTGCCTCTGCCCCTGAGTTTTGGGATTAAAGGCGTGTGCCACCACCACCTGGCTTCCGTGCCTGTTTTTGTAATGAACAGAAGGAACAGTCAGTTTCAGAGCAGAAACCATCATCAGGTAGCAACGTAAGAATAAGCCCTGACTCTCCTTTCAGACATGGTGGAGATGATGCTAATGCAGAATGCACAGATGCACCAGATCCTCATGCAGAACATGATGCTCAAAGCCCTGCCCCCTGGGCCCACAGGGCCACGTGCCGCTACCCTCCAGGTAGGTTTGGGGGCTGAGATTCAGTCATTGGCTGGGGGCGGTATTGCTCCTGGATACCTGCGCAGGCATCTCTGGCTTGTGGGTATGTGGTGAAGGCGATGGGGAGCAGGTAATGTAGCTGGGGCGCAGAGAACCCTAAGCCCAGGATGTATTCCCATCACAGTCTGCTGCCCTGCTCACCAGTTTGGGCCCAGGCATAGGGAAAGGATGCTGCCGTCCTGACCTGGCTGTGTACTCTGTCAGGACCCACGATGGGCGCACCACGGAGTCTTGCGAGCTGAAAAGCAGAAGCCACCCCCAGTGCACCACCACCACCACTATGCACCCCCAGCCCAGCTGCAGGCTGCCTCCACAGCTGGCGCCTCTTCGGGATATCCGGGGTGGCCCCCAGTGGTGGCAGCTACCGCCCTCCCACATGCAGCCAGCTTCTTGCCCACTGTGAGCCACCTGACTGAGCCAACCACTTCCCATCCCAGCTACCCATAGCACGTAAGCCTGGAGGGAGAAAGCTAGTGTTTTGCAGCAGGTAAGTGGAAAAATGGGCCTGGCCACCTCTCCTCCATGTATGCCAACAAGCACATGCATCCTGTGGTCAAGCCAATGCACCGTGGCAGATTGGAAGGGGCCAGAAAAAATTGTCAGTTGCAGGACTCAGCACCAGTTGTCAAGCCATGTGGAGCCTGCCACCCCCTGGGAAAGCTGTGCCTTAGATCTTTGGGCAGTCCAGTAGGACTGGTCCCATAAAGTGTCCTTCACCTCAGCCCAGGTCCCGCAGCTCCCCTTATTTGACACCCTTGATTTTCTCGTAGTGCTGCACTGGAAACCACGTTGCCTTTCCAGGTGTGACAGGCCATTTGCCTATCTCAGCAAGCATCGTGGTCTTCTAGGCTTGCTTACTCTCCATGGCCATCTGGGAAAGCTAGGAGACTGAGGCCTCACCCGGGGGAACACAAGCATTTTATTATGAAAGACTTGTTAGAAAAACAGTTCCAGATCAGAATCCATCATTATAGCTGCAAACCCATTTTAACATTCCTGTGGAAGGTTGGAGTAAGAGTCAAAGCGAGGCCAGAAACATAGCTCAGTGGTAGACAGCCTGTTGACCATGTGTGAGGCCCTTTGTTATGTCCTTGATGTGCTACACATGCCCACATGCAAACCAAGAGAAAGACCTGATCGTCATGCCTGGAATGATCACTTCATTCCAATGTGAAAGAAGCAAGCTGAGGAATGTGTGATGCTGAAGATGTGGTTTCTTTTTAAATATCCAGGTCCAACAAGGTTGCATAGCAGTTAAGGTGCTTGCTGTCAGTCAAGTCTGATAATTCAGTTTTATCCTCAGAACATGGTGGGGGGGGGGCGGGAACAAGGACCATCTTCTGCAGGCTGTCACTCTTGCCTCCATGACTGCATCGCACTACTGCATTGTGGTGTGCATACACCCCAACCCCAGCGCTAATTAAATGTAGTTCAAAATAAAATAAATAAATAAAATAAGGAACTGGGCATGGTGGCACACATACTTAGTCCCAGCACTAGAGAGGTAGAGGCAGGCAGATCACTAAGTTGAGGCTAGCTTGGTCTACATAGTTCCAGGACAGCCAGAGTTGCACAGAAAAACCCTGTTTTGGAAAACCAACAAGAAAGTGCTGGAGAGATGGCTCAATGGTTAAGAGTTAAGGCCACTTGGTGCTCTTGCAGAAAACCCAGGTTCAGTTCCCAGCACATGGCAACTCACATCTGTAACACAGTTCCAGGGGCTTTAATGTCCTCTTCTGATTTCCATGGGTATAAAGCAAATACATGGTACACACACACACACATGCAAGCAAAACACTCATACACATAAAATTTTTTTTTTTAAGATTTTATTTATTATTACATATACAGTGTTCTGTCTACATGTTTTGCCTGCAGGCCAGAAGAGGGCACCAGATCTCATTACAGATGGTTGTGAGCCACCATGTGGTTGCTGGGAATTGAACTCAGGACCTCTGGAAGAGCAGTCAGTGCTCTTAA